AAAAATCACATCATATGAGGAAGTTCAGGGTACCCTACTTCAGGCTCTCCTTTCAAGGGATTCATCATGTGTGTTCCATGAATCCTTGGCATGGGAGCACTTGAACTCAGATACCAATAACATCAGCATCTTTATCCACAGCAAGGATTTGCACTGGGATCAAAGTCAAGCTGTGTGGTCCACTCACAACATTTGGGCCAGCCGACGGGAAAGCAGAATCCGCAGGCCTTCAAGGCACATCAGGATCTTGTTAGAGTTCTGCTTTGGGGACTTGCTGACCACACGAAATTCCATCCCAGCACTGCATTCTTCCAGCCCAGCTGCCTCTCCCTGGCTGGACAGATGGGCGGGAAAGTCTTCTGGAGTCACACTAAAGTGTCTTATTAACTCCATTAGCATCTTGACACTGGAACTGTGGCGATGGGTTCCTGTCTGGGCAGTTTCCCAGGTTCTTCAGAATTTTCAGGAATGAAAATATCGAGTGGAAAGGATGCTCCGACTCAGAAACATTTATTGAAAAACAGAAGAGAAAGAAACTCCGCCAAAAGAAATTGGGGAGGAATTTAGCGAGGAGTTAAGTTACAGTGTGGCTCATTTGGTTTGGAGTCTGTTTGTCTGGCAAGATGGCCCGGTTCTGCGGGGAGTTTTACAGAAAAGTTTGTATTTCTTATCAAGTGATCGGGCAGTTATAAAGTGTGCAAGGGCCTTTCTTACTGTTGAGTGAAAGGCATGTATTCCCCACAAGCCCAGATCGCTGTCCTCTTCCGCAGAAGGGTGTGGTTGGGACTCCTTTTGACCATTCCTTCCAACTAGCACAGCACATCCTACGGCTCAGCTTGCGGAGTGATTCAATAACCTCCCTTGGAGTCCAAGAGAGTCCTGGGAACCCCAGGAGCGTTTAAACTGTAGAATAGGGACGGCTAAAATGAGGCAGCTGACGAGAGAGAGCTTCCTCCTTCAGTGCTCCCGTAACTCAGGGGTTCTTGATTTCCAGAACACGAGGCATTTGCTTCTGGCTTTCCTCCTGCATTCACCTCAAATGCAGAAGAGGTTTTGCCGCAAGTCTGCAGCATGCTTTCAGCTGCTCAGTAGAAAATGTTTCTGAACTGTTCGGGATCCCCCAGCCACTGCTAACCAGATTCCTAGCTGAAGAGGTTGAGAGAAAATCCTGATCCCAGACAGGAAGCTTTGGGGGGAGGGGGAGAGGAGGGGCTGATTTTTTTCCCCCCAATTTTAGTCACTATGACTTACAATTTTACGAACTGTTCAGGATAGGGTTTCATGCATGTGGCTTTCCAACATCACACCCCGTCTGCTCTGCTCCCCCCGCATGCCTGTGGCTTTTGGTCTTTCATCGTTCCTTTACTATACTTCTTTAGAGCCACATACGAGATTATTCTGTATCTGTTCCCCTCCTGTCGGACTTTTTTCAGTAGGGTACCCTTTAGTTCCATCTGTGTAATGGTAAATTGCATGATTTCATCTTTTCTTACAGCCCGGGAGTACTCCATGGTATTTACCATAGTTTCTTTATCTGGTCACCTGTTCTTGGGCACTTGCTTCTGATTTTTTATGTTTCTTTGATTCATCTTTGGACACTTGGGTTGTTTCCAGATTTGGGCTACTGTGGACAGTGCTGTGATGAACACAGAAGTGAAAACAGGAAGCTTTGAAATATAGATTTCTTCTAATACGAACAGAAGCTTTTTTGCAACGGGTGAGAATTCGAGTTTGTGTTAGCATGGGCTGTTAGTCTTTCCCGTCTTTCTGTTTCCAGGAGCTTCAAGTGAAGGCACAAAGCAGTCTTGCGTTCAGGCGCAGATGGCTGCAGACAGGCACCCTTTGTTCAGCCACCCTATACAAGGTTCTCTCTGTCCCTCATCTCCTAGAAACAGGAGGTTGAAGTCTTCTTTGAAAAGGTGTCTCCAGAAGCCAACGGTTTATGCAATTCAAGATCATTTCTTCTGGGGCTGGAGGGAAAGTACAGTGGGTAAGGCACTTGCCTTACACGCTGCCAACCCAAGTTCTCTCCAGCTCCGCCTATAGTCCCCATCACCAGCAGGAATGATCCCTGAGCACTGAGGTAGGACCAAGTCCTGAGCACTGCTGGGTGTGGCCCCAAACCAGCCAGAGCAAAAGAATGTTTTTGCTATCTCAATGACTATTTGCCTTTCTTCGCATCACAAATTATGTCTACGTCTGTGTGTTTTCAGAAGGTCTGGCGGCGCTCTATCTCTCCTGCCGCCCGCGTTCGGTGACCTCACATCGCTTCCCCCACCCCAGGGAGGTCGATGGCAATGGGCAGGCGAAGGAAGGAAACAAGGACCACGCTGGTCGGTATCAATTGTAGTTTATTCCAATGTTCACTCTCACCTCTGACTCTGTCCTCTGGAGCCCAAGCTCCCGAGCCTGCGCCTCAGCCTGAGCCTCAGTCTCTGCTCTCTCAAGCCAAAGTCTGAGCCCGAGCCCGATATGGAGCCTGAGTCTAAGCCTCAGCCTTCTCCTCAGCCTGAGCCTTCTCCCTTCACTCTCTGGAGCCCAAGCCCCCTCCGAGCTTACAGTCTTAGTTTATACACCAATCACGTAGGGTGGTGACACAAAGGTGGGTTGAACATGAACAAATCAGCAAAGAGAGGTAAGACCATTCCTCAAGGAGATTAACTCAAGCATAAAATCTCATCTAAAGAGATTATTTCAGATTACTAGATCTGCTCAACGGTGGGATCCCAACAAGGGTGTATTCTTTCCTCAGTTAGTAATCTACTTAAATAGTTGTAGTAAATCTACTTCTAATATTTCTAGCAATGTCATTCTGTATGAGCATAGTAAGAGATAAACTTAAGTTGGTTCTAATTTATTAATAAACTTATTGTACTGTTTTATTTGGTTTTTTTTTGAGACCACATCCACTGTTATTCAGGACTTAATCTTGGGTCTACTCTCAATAACTTCCTGTACTATGCTGCTTGCTATATATCCTAGATTTCATTGATATGTATATACTAATTTTTCAGTCTATGATATGTATTTTTCATTATGTTTTCTTTATACTTCCTCTTACATAAATCACATAAAATAGAAAAATTATATTCATGTATGCAGTATTATTCTTAGAGTTATTAGTAACTACATTGTAGATAAACAACTTAAGACATGAAATTTAAATAAAGTTTTCCTTCCCCCCCAAAAAAAACTTAAGTTGGTTCTTCCTGAGGACATCTCACTATATATTCTGCTATATATATTATATTATTATTATTATTATTATATTAATATATATGTATAACAGTCCTCAGGCCAGGTTAGTCTTCCTTGCCCCAGCAGGGTCCTAGTCTCGTCATCGTTGCTTACTTTTGGATCATGACAGCATTTGTCCATGATCATGCCCTCAATTTATAATTGAGTATCGTGGCGCTTTGGCTGGCCCATTTCGATGCCAGGGTAGCTCACAGCTTGTCCTGGATCCATTCAGTCCCTCGTTGGGACCCAGCTTTGGGGGTGCTAGGAACTAAGGGCAACTGAGTCAAGAAAGCAGATGCCCAGGAGTAAATATTATTCAGAGTCAATCAGCTCCTAAGTTACAGAGCATAATATTAACTGTCTTCCTGTGTCCATACAGAAAGAACATTGCTTTAAGGTAATCTATGCAAAGGACATAACTTACAATACAAGTTCAGTGTCCTTAGAAGGATCTGATCTTACAAGCTAACAGAATCTGATTAGGGAGAAAAGGTGATTAACTGGCTGGGGAGGAGAGCACAGAGAAGAGTTTACAGATAAATAGAGGAATGGGAGTGACTTGGGAGCACTGTGATGGGTGTAACCCAATAAACCTAAGCTCCCTGTGGCAATGTCATCCTACATAGTCTATACTGTACAAAATTATTTGTTCCCTATTCAGGCATCTATTTTTCTGGTTTTGGTGCCCTGGATCGAACCCAGGGCTTAAGTGTGCAGCAGAGCCTGACTCCGGAGCTATCTTCCCAGCCTAGAGCATTTCTACTGTTTCAGATTTCCAGTGCTGGCACCCGGTGTGAACGGCAGGTTCACCACTAAATTTCAGTTCATTTGGGTTACATCTGGGCTGGGAAGGCTAACAAAATAAAAGAGAAAATATAAACAAACAAAACTATATTCTTAAAGGTCCATGACATTCAGGGAGCAGAACAATGTATGTTGTGCTATCATTTTTTTAATAAAAAATTCTTGAAAATTACATGTAAAGGAAGCTGAATAACTATTAATAATGGAAGAGTTAATAAAAAAAATCTCTAAGAAGAGGGACATAGGAAGACAGCTGATTCCTGCCATGAATTGAAGCAGTTGTACAGGACCTGAATCACTGGGTGCAGCCAGGTGGATCACTTGTGGCCGCCAAGGACCCACCTCCCACAGGGCTGAGCTCTGCCAACCATGTGACGTGGCTCCAGGCACTGCTGGGTGTAACTACTCAAAAGAGAAAATCAAAGACTACAGACTGCTCCATCTGATTTTTTTCTGAGGAAGTAATCAAACAGAAATCATTCTAGGGACTTCCCAAGCAGTGGCCAGGGGGCCAGTTCTCAGTCCTGGGGCTACTCGCCTGGCTACTCATATGGGTACGTTGGTTTAATGCTTGAAGGACCAGCTTGGTTTGGCCGCATGCAAGGCAACTCCCTACCCCGACACTCCCTCAAGGGAGCCTAACCTGTATGGCTTTAGAGCTCTGAACTGTGCCTTTAAAAATTATTCGGTAATTATTCAATAATATTTATTTATTTTTCAATAACTATTAAGTGAATATAAATTATTCACTTGTAGAAATATGAACCGTGCCTTTAAAAATTATTCAGTAAGCGACATTTTAAAAGGACATTTTTACTGTAAAAGTTGAGATGACAAAGACTGAAAGCAGAACACTATTTACCACACAAAATGCAACTTGGCTGCATTTTATTGAACAGACTTACACACCATAAAATATATACTAAGTTAAAGCTCTTCTGTACACTGCCATGTACCTCAGAAGAAATCTGAAGTAAAATCATGATAGGAGACTTTTCGTGATTCTAACATCTTCGGTTATCTTCTCCTTTTCGCATTAGGATTATATCTGCAAAGGAAAATGTGGTTGAGGGGAATCAGATCAATGACAGCATTTCTCACATTTAATGTTAAAGAGCTTTCAAATACTGTCACACTTTGAGAAACAGAAAAAAGAATGCAAATTTTTCCTTTTTTTTTTTTTTTGAGGGGGGAGATAGGGATGGGTCTAACAGCAGTGTTTCAGGGCTACTTCTACTCTCTGCTCAAGGATTGTTTCTGGTGATGCTCAGGGTCCATATGAGGGGCTGTGAGTGGAGCCTGAGGTTTGCTGTACGCAGGGCTAGTGCCTTAACTCCTGAACTGTCTCTTCGACCCAAGAATGCCAATTTTATTCTTGTGGTCAGATATAAGTACAAGTGATTTTACTTTCATTTATTTATTTTATGTTGCTTTGATTCATCTTTGAATAAAAATATAACATCAACAAAAAATAATCCTGCAAGGCAATGGTTTTTAACCACCTATAACAGGGGCCAGTGGAGGTCTGTTGGTGCAAAAGGCTACACTTTGTGATGCATTACAATAGTAGATGAAAATAAGTCTAAAAAAGAACTTTGTGTGTAAATTTCTTCTAGTATGGCTTTAAAAACTGAAGACATAACACTAGCATACCACTAAAATACTCTACAAAATTTTCTCCTAGAACAATGAAATGTAATAGGATAAACAAATATTCTTCCATCGTACAGCAAGTAGGGTACTTGCCTTGCATGCAGCTGACTCAAGTTCAATCCCTGGCATCCCACATGGTCCCCCAACCCCTGCCAGAAGTGATCCCTGAGCACAGAGCGAGGGATTAGCACAAAGTACCTCAGCATCTAGCCACCAAACCAAACACCTAAATCAATGAAATACTCTTTTTCTACACTGAAAAAAAAAAGTCAGTACTGGGCCCGGAATGACAGTACAGCAAACAGGTAGGGCATTTGCCTTGCACATGACCACCCGAATTCAATCCCTGGCACCTAATATGATCTCCAGAGCACTGTCAGGAGTGATCCCTGAATACAAAGCCAGGAGTTGGCCCTGAGTTCTGCTGGGTGTGGCCCAAAACCAAAAAGTCTGTCAACATTTCACCAATGATTCATATTGTTTTTTTTTAAATTTTTTATTCAAATTATTAATAATCAAAGAACTACTTACATTGGTTGCAATGTAAGGAAAAAAAGGGGGAAAATGAAGCAGTACTCCTTAATTCTGCTTTAATTTTGAGAAAAGGCTATTCTTCCCTAGCTATTTTTTACCCCAAATTTAGAGTTTTATCCATATTTGAGGGCGGAAACTACAAAGTTTCATAGGCCAGTAACAATGCCAAAAATGTTAAATCAGAATTAAAATGTAATCATTTATTATAACTCCTTCAACCTTGTAGGAAAACCTTTGAAATTCTAATATGACTTCCTGTTTTTATACACGTGTCTATTAAAACTAAACTGGTCTGGGAGTTTACTCTTCTTCCTTAAGAACCCATTCATTTGCAATTGTCTACAAAGCTGAACATCACACCAGTTCCTAAGTCACCCAGCTCAGGAATCTTCTTTGGAACAACTGAATCAAGCCTGAACCTGGAAACTTATCGAGCAGACCAACTAATGACGCTCAGGTCCTCACAGGAAAAACCTGCACCTGAAAACGGAAACATTTTCAGACTGAGCAACTAAGTGTCCATCTCTAAGGTCAGGAGAGGCCAGTGTTGTGTGTTTAGGAATTTCACAAGTATTTCTCAAAGATGCTGAAAAATCTGAAACAGAACTTTACCTAAAGAGATCATCCGCGAGAGACTCTTCCTTTGCATGTTGATGCTGCATCTGTGGAATGAACAGACTTTTACACATTTGCTCCAAATTAAGTAACTCAGTTGGCAAGGCACTGCTCCTCCCACTGGTCAGAGATCTCCTGTGATCTCCCCAGTCGGAGATCTCCTGTGATCTCCCCATCCGGGAGGTGAGCGGGCCTGCCTTCTGCCTCCTTGCACCTCTCTCTGCAGCCACTTCCACTCTCGGTCACGGCCAAGGTTACTACTTGGGTCTTCTACAGTAGAAAACTTTCCCCAGTCAACCTCCTCTCACAGGAAGTCAATTCATGCACCGCTGGCTTGAGTTTCACAAGATTCTTTCCAGCAGAATCCTGGTCATGAACGAAATCTCAGCGCCCGGAGAGCTGAAACCACAGTTCAAGGGCCTGGGAGGAGTTCAGAGGCAGTTCTACGGGTGAAGTGGCTTTCTGCATAGCTCTGAATCTAGACTCAGAGGCTTCTGTGGAATACCTCCACCACATACTTATTTAAAATGGTAGTTTTTGTTTAGTATGGAGGATTAATCCCAGGGTCTCACACATACAAGGGACATGCTTTTATTGCTGAGTTGATATGTCCAATCAGCATTTTGATTTTTTTTTTTTTTTTTTTACTTCTTGGTCCATACTTGGCAGCACTCAAGGCTTACTCCTGGCCCTGAGTCCAAGGATCACTCTTGGTGGGGCTCGGGGAATCAACTAGGGTGCCAGGGGTCAAACTTGGGCCAGCTGCATGTAAGCTTATTTGCTGTACTATCTTTCCAGGCCCCCAACTGCCTTGTTCTCTTTGTACACGTGACCATCTTTGTTCTCTTTGTACATGTGACCATCTTTCAAGGTGCATTTGTTCAACAACTCAGGGCTTCCTCTGTGCTAATGAGCTTGCTCTTCACCTCTTATTAAGGGGCTCTTTGATCCTATTTTAAAATAATAGCTGCTATGGATAACTCAGAAGACTGCGGTTACCTCACTCCTAGATGCTTATCAATTTTCATAAAATAACATTGTACCAAAAACCAAAATTCCTTGAATGCAGATACTGTTTACTGTTTGTTTGGGAGCCACACCCGGTGATGCTCAGAGGTTACTCCTGGATCTGCACTTAGGAATTACTCCTGGTGGTGCTCAGGAGATCATATGGGATGCCACAGACCAAACTCAGGTCAGCTGCATGCAAGATAAGTGCCCTACCCATTGTACTGTCACTCCGGGCTCCAGAAATATTGTTTATTTTTATTGTTACTAAGTAACTAAGTAACTTGGTCAAAGGTCAAAAAGCTGGAAGAACTGGGCTTTGACCTGGTCTACCTGAGTAAGAGCACCAGCTCAGAAGTAGGCACTCTCCAGTACTTCACTCTCTGCTTCACAGTCTTCAGAAAGGTTTAGAATGACTTACAGGGATTATAATTTATAAAATGATTTTCTATTCATATGGAGAAATGTCAAAAGTAAATGACATTCTTTGATTTTTCACCTTCTGATAGGCATAGCAGAGCATAAATGGGAAGACATGATCTATACAAAGCCGCTGTCAAAACAGTAGTTGGCATTTTTGTCCTAAGTTTTCTTAGCGGCTGCCTGGCAGAATACACTTTTGAGGGAAGAAGTCAGACAGAATATGTCAGTTTTATTTTTTGTCTCTTGGTTTAAAAAAATTTAAGTAAAAAAAGCATTAAGAATAGAAATCCTTAGTAAAGGCCTTGAGGGAACAACAGCTCACAGCCTTTCTAAGATGTAAAACAGGTTTTACGTAGGGTACAAAGAAGAAAATATTATGTCTGACACAGAGAATAAAATAACCTCAATTCAAGAAAGCTTCAGGAACTGACTCAATGATAATGAAAACCAACACTGGTTTGTAGCAAAAGTAGAAGGTCAGACTGAAACAGAACACAAAGCAGAATATACAGAAGAGAAGTTGGGGCAGGGTTAGGAAACGGGATTGTAGCAAACTCATACCCCAAAGATATGGGAGTCAAAGAAGCAAATCAAGCCCTTTAGCTTAGAAAGTGACCAGTACTGAGGGAACTGAAAATTGCTCCAACAAGAGGAAAATTTCTAAAAATGAACCCAGGACACACACAATACCCACTAATAAAAAAACAAATTTTTTTTAAGTCAGCAGGTATATACTATCTTTTCTTTCCATCCAGGAACAAATGAAATGATGCTAATTAGTTCATTAAGGTGACCGGCATAATCCCACAGCACAGGACCATATGCAACTCTGGACTGTGACCCAGAGAGCAAAAAATGGAGCAAAAAATAGCCAGCTCTTTCCACCGTTTAAAATGCTTCATAATTTATATATATACATAATAATTATATATAATATACATAATAATTATATACATAATAAAATGCTTCAGAATTTAATCATTAGAAAAAAGTTCAAAATCGTGGTACAATTAATATTCACATTCTGCACAGGAGGAGAAAGGGGCGTAAAGAAGTTAACTGCCCAAAGTCACAAAGTCATTGACGAAAATGAGACACAACTGAATTTTGGATATAAGAGCTCAAGAAAACTATCACTGTCACTGTCACTGCCCTCCTGTTGTTCATCGATTTGCTTGAGTGGGCCCAGTAACGTCTCCATTTTGAGACTTGTTGTTACTGTGTTTGGCATATTGAATATGTCATGGGGAGCTTGCCAGGCTCTGCCGTGTGGGCGAGATACTCTCGGTAGCTTGCCAGGCTCTCAGACGGGGGCGGAGGAATCGAACCCGGGTCACCCGGGTTGGCCACATGCAAGGCAAGTGCCCTACCGGCTGTGCTATCGCTCCAGCCCAAGAAAACTATAATGACTGCAAAAGAAATGGATATGGAGGTTCATAGCGATCTAAAGAAAGAATAGTTACATCTTCAACATAGAGAACCCAGAAAATATAAAAAAAGTCTTTGAAGATATAATAGAGAAGTTCTTCAAAATAAAAGAAAGAATTGGACTTGCAAATTAAAAGCACATACTGTATTCTAGGAATAACGAACATAGGCTGGGCATCACTGGGGACATATTATTATTATTATTGTCTTATTATTATTATTATTGTTATTGTCTATTAGTGAAACGCCATGAGGTACAGTTGTAGACTTACAAACTTTCATGCTTGGGTTTCAATTATATAATGATCGAGTACCCATCCCTCCAACCAGTTCCCATTCTCCACCACCAATGATCCCAGTAGCCCTCCCAACACTGGGAGATCATCTGATCGTTAATATTCAGAGTCAAGCTCTAAGCTGACATGCAAGTTACCCCGAAGTGGGGAAAACTAAACTGTTGATGGGGTGGGAAGAGAGAGGGAAGAAGTCTCAATAATTTCCTTACATTTCAAATTATGGAGTCAACAAACAGTACTTAAATATGCTGCTTAAGAAAACAAGCTCTCATTCTAACTGGATAGTAATTTTCGTATTTTCCCTCTTACTTTAGAGGGACCTTGGAAGATAAAGTATCTTGGATGGAAGAAACAGTAATACAAGTTTGGCGCAGCTTCAAACTTTCCCTCTTAGCTTCAAACTTTCGTTCTCGCTGTCCCTTCCCTTCGGTCTCTGCCACTCACCCCCCTTTAACACAGAGACAAGCCAACTCCTTATTTAACTGCTGAAATGGGTCATTTCTGTATGCTCTACCACTGAGCTGCACTTTCATTAAGTGGGTCATTTCTGGGCTTTTGGATTTTAACTTCTTGATTCTTTTGTACACTGTTGCAATTCCTTAGAATGGACATTTATAAAATAATAAAGCCAACTTTATTTATATTCTTTCAGAAGTGGAAAAGACAGGATGTGACTTCCGTTCTTTTATTTGACACTAAATATCCAAAGAGATCTTTCTTACAATTCTGTCCTTTTATCTGTCTTTTAAAACACCCCCAGTGTGCTCCAGCATCGTTCCAGGTGACCACAGGGCCGTATGTGGTGCCTGGGATCAAATGGACAGGGTGAGTCCCTTGCAAGGCAAGTGCCTGAATCTGCCGACTATCAATGTGGCCCCCAACTCTGCCTTCTTGAGTGCGTCCCCAACAGTTCTTTGGTTTAGAAAATAAAATTTTTAAATGTCTTATTGACGACTATGTTAAACTCACATATGCTAAAGGGGTCAACATGTTAAACCCACACATGTTAAACCCACATGTCAGACTACATTAAACCCACATCAAGTACTAGAGCCATATTTGACCCTGTTATGTGGGTCTCGGGAAACATAAGAAGATCTGGTTCCACTCTGGTATGTGCGTGGAAGATGAATGATAGGAAAGAATTTAAGGTGGAAAACAGAATACAAGACGCTCGCTCTGGGGCGAGAGAGACAGTGCAGCAGGTACAGGGCTTGCCTTGCACGCAGCTGACCCAGGTTCGATTCCCAGCATCCTAGATGGTCCCCTGAGCACTGCCAGGAGTCAGCCCTGAGCATCCCTCGGTGTGGCTGAGAAACAAAACAAAAGACACTAACCCTAAAGGTTTGAAGAGAAATATACCCTAAAACCAAAAGAGACATAGCAGGAAAATGTGCCTAATTTGACTCTGGCAAAGGGTGATGGAAAGGAATTTTAAGAATCTCACCTCTGATTGTAACTACAAGAGGGCTGAGCAGATGCTCTGGACACAGGGCCTGAGTTTGATGTCTGGTACCACATGGTTCCTGGAGTACTGCAGGGAGCACAGAGCCAGGAGTATTCCCTGGAAACAGCCAAGGTAGATACCCTCCCACAAAACAAGACAAAACAAAACACAAACCCAAAGGATTATAATGACAAGCTGGTCTTCACTCGGGCACAGGCTTCTGATGCAAACATGTCTGAACCACTTGGATCATCCAAAGAAATGACAAAAAGAAATCAATGTGGTCCCACATAGGTGGCTATAAACTGATTTCTGGAGGAAATAACCCTGAATTTAGGACTCCATGATGGCCCAAGGATTAAATGAAAGAAACAGCTTATATTCAGAAACCACAAAAAACACACTCAGAATCAAGGAACCACAGTAAGGGAAAACAGGGAAAAGAAAATGGATGAACAGACACACTGTATTGGCAGCACAGTCAAATAACACAAAAGAGGAACACGCCCATATTGGCAGGGAACAAGACTTAGAAAAGAAGGCAACAAGACTTCCAGAAACAAGGCCCCTGGAACACTGCCAGGAGGATTCCTGAGTGCAGTAACCAAGCCCCAAGCACCAAACCAACCAACCAAACTCAAAGGACGGACAGAATTCCAAGCACACAGGCCAGAGGGAGGCGGGGAGGGAACCACACAGGGAGCATCGTGGACAGCACAATCCACCCGGAGTCGCTCCCCGCACTGTCTCCGGCCTGAGCATGGTCCAGCCGTTCAACTGGGCTCGGCTCTGGTGACTGTTTTCATCAGAGAACCAAAGGGAAGGGCGGCGGGAAAATACTTTAAAAGGAAAAAAGGAAAAAAAAGAAAAAAAAACCCATAAGGTAAAAGAAATACTGAAGACATGTTCAAAAATACAATCCAGACAAAGAAATGAAATTACAGAAAAGAAGTTCAGATGCTACACAGAGATAAAACCTAACTGCTCTAAGAAAACGAGATCAAATGTCAGTCTTCAAAACTTCCCGTGAACATGAGATTTTGGAGATGGTACCAGACTGTACTTGTAATGGAAACCTTAATTGTTTAGAAACTCAAGTTCAGGAAGATATAAGAAAGTAGGTAATATTCAAGAAGAGCAAAAAATTCTCAGAATTGCTAAAAGACAATTCCTAGATTTAAAAAACCACTCCATTCATATGCTATACTATAACATATTTTGACTGTCTTCTATTTGTCTATAGGACCATCCTTTCATCTCATTAACTGTTTAATTATTGACCTAGAGATTCATTTTACATTTTTGTAGTTGAAATAGTTTCCCCCTTTAAATTAGGATGCAAACGTAATTCATTTGTTTGCGTACCATTTCTGACTATGGCTGGTTTCTACATGTGAGCGTGGACGTGTGTGTGTATGTGCGTCACCAAGGTTCAAACCCAGGGTCTCTAACATGTGAGGCGAATGCTAGGGGGCTAGAGCGACAGGACTGTAGACAGAGTGCTCGCCTTGCACAGGCCAGCCTGGGCTTGATCCTCCCGGATGCCACAAGATCCCACAGCCCTCAGGAGTGATCCCTGAGTGCAGAGCCAGGAGGAAGCCCTGAGCACAATCGGGTGTGGCCAAAAAAAAAAAAAAAAGTTTGCTGATGAGCAATCTTCGAGGCTGCCTAAGTTTCATTTTAGGAAGGGTGTTTTTCTTCGGTGTCAAAAAGCTTTTTGCAGCTTCGCTCCTTCTCCTGAGGCCTCTTTCACCTCCCCTCGAGATTCAGGTGGACTGTCTAGGTTAGGAAAAGCTAAAGGGCACTGGCTGAGGGCTGCCCACCTAATTCTGCCCACCGGGACTGGGCCAAGGTGGAACTTTAAGAACACGTGTCCGCTGACAGGCCCCTGGCTACTCTTTACTTATCTATTATAGAAGTAATGAATAAAGTTAATTAGCTCAATTATTAAGACTGGCTTAATAATTTAAAAAAAGTAGAGTGTTCTCCACTCACAGTCACTTTCCTTTCCAGTACCTCTAAAACTTAACTGCCGCCATGTTATTTCTTTGCATTTTCTGCACGGGCACATTGTATGCTCCACTCTGTGCAACTTCCGTGCTCTCCCTCGCAAACATGTATTAGTTCCCTGGAAGTAGAACACTGTGACGCCACTGTCTCCACTGGGCATAAGACCAGATCCCTCAGCCTCTCTTCCGAGCTGTCCCCCCCCCCCCCAGGTCCCCGTGTCTGCATGCCCAGGACGCCCCTCTTTCCTACTCGGGAGCTCCCAGGCACTTTGGGATGACCACACTTCAAGGGGCCAAAGTCCAAATGCAACCTCTGCAGGGCCGCCGTCTCCTCACCTCCATCTCCTGCCGCAGCCACTCTTCTAGCTCCGCGTTCTTCCGCGCGTGATGAGCTATGAGATCGGACCCTCCTATGATGTGTGGAAGCTTCCCAGCTCCAGGAAATGTTACCTGTCAAATTAGTCAAAAGCAATCCATGAAAGGGGCTGGAGCAATAGCACAGCGGGTAGAGCATTTGCCTTGCATGCAGCCAACCTAGGCTCGATTCCCAGCATCCCGTATGGTCCCCCAAGCACCGCCAGGAGTAATTCCTGAGTGCCTGAACTAGGAGCAACTCCTGTGCATCTCCGGGTGTGACCCAAAAAGAAAACAAACAAACAAGAAAAAGCAATCCATGAAACATGTCAACACAATCATGTTTTCAAAAGCTTTTTAGAAAGGCAGAGGCGCGGAGTCCCAGGTGCAGTGAAGAGCTACTGCTGCCCACGCGAGCCCGCGGGCCCCTGGCCCTGTCTCCCATCACCAGTGACACCCGGGGAACAGGTGTATGGAGTTCTCAGACGCTTCCTTCTTAGTAAAAATGGTCTGAAAAAGCCTTTCGCGCTTCCTGCGCCTGGCAGAGAGCCAATTCCTAACACACCCCAACACTGGTCGGACCTAGCACGGACCATGAAGCGCTTTCTTTTCAACTGCATTTCTGCACACCTATCGTAGGGCCTGGCTTAGACCTCCAAAGTCCAAATGCATTTTGCTTTCATTCAACCTAGATGTTAAGAAGGCTGAAAGACCAAGGTGTCTGTCTTTTTACTCTGTCAACTTCTTTCTTGGGCAGCTCTCAACTTTATTTGATTATTATTATTTTTTAAATATATATATATATATATTTTTATTAGTGAAACACCATGAGGTACAGTTGTATACTTACACACTTTCATGCTTGGGTTTCAGTCATACAATGATCGAGTACCCATCCCTCCAACCAGTGCCCATTCTCCACCACCAATGATCCCAGTAGCCCACCCACCCCCCACCCCTGTGGCAGGGGCATTCCCTTTTGCTCACTTTCCTTTAGGGTGTTGTAGTTTGCAATAGAGGTATTGAGTGGCTATTGTGTTTGGTCTATAGTCTACATTCCGCATGCATCTTGCATCCCGAGTGATTCCTCCAAACATCCTTTAGTTGGTGTTCCCTTCTCTATCTGAGCGGGCAGCTCTCAAATTTAAACTCAAAGAAGTTCAGGTTGTCTTTTCACGGATGCAGAAGTGATTTATTTTAGCCAACATCTGCAATCCCTTGTAAGCACTGCCCCCAAGTGTAAAACCCCTGGATACTGCAATAACATGAATAACAATGATGATGGGAAGGGCGGGGGAGTGAAGAAAAAGCAAAAAATGCAAATAGAGCATAATCTTAAGTACCAAAGATACTTATCGCCAACAAATGAAAGCGAGCGAGAGATGAAATCTGTGCCCCATGAAACCAGCCCACAGGGACGTAGAAGTCAGACTCAAAGATCAAAATCAGCAAAGTCCTCTGGGCATAAACCACTGAGTACTTCAGCAAGGACGACTGAAAAAGAAGTGTGAGCACCACAGCTTAGGTGTGTGCATTATATGTCATGCTAAGGATATTAAAAGTTTAAGTCCCTTCTAGTACCTTCATGAAAATTTAAGTCTTGTGATGGGAATTTTTACTGTTTAGAAATTAAAGACAGGCTGAAAAAAAAAACATCATGTAAAAAGGCTTATCAAGCTAGTGGCTAATCTAGTTTTTATGAGGTAATAAATACTTAATATCTATCGGACATATTATGAAAATTTTAATGTGCAAGATGAAAAGTCAATGTTCAATTAGATTCACCTTTCAGGCCATTCCTGGCAGTGCTCAATGCCACCAGAGCCACTTGGCAGCAACATACAACTGGGGACCCAACTCAGGGCCTTGAGTCTCCAAGGATCCCCTCCCAGCTGGGCCCAAGCCCTGGGCATTGTCTCAGCTCTACACAATATTTGAGTCATGTTGCCTTGAATCCTTCCCTTCTATTTTTGCTGTGTTTGCCAACTGGAGTCAACACACTCGTTAACAGCGCTCACACACGACTCTAGAGCTCACACAAGTGGCAGAGGGTGGCTGGATTCTTTGCATACTGTTAGGTTTGTGGTGCCTTGAAGACTGAGAACTTTGTTGTGCCTCAATATGGCTCAGCATACACAGGCACTGCCAGGACTACACACTAGCCTCTCACACCCAAAGGGGGCAACCTGCCACCAAGCTGTCCCTGGGCCCAGAAGAGTTTGGGTTTACTTTAGTTTTTAGGTTTCACCTGGCAATGCTCAGGGCTTACTCCTGGCTCTGCACTCAGGAACTACTCCTAGCGGTGCTCGGGGGACCACATGGGATGCTGGGAATCGAACCCGGGTTACTCACGCACAAGGCAAATGCCCTACCTGCTGTCCTATTGCTCCAGTCCCCCTCAGCAGTATTTTAAGTACTTTTTGGCCCTAGGAGAATTCCCCCCAGTCTTCTTTGGTTGGACAAGAAATCAAAAAAGGTCAGTAATAAATTTGGTAATAAGTATATGGAACATTTACATGATAGTAAATTCTAATGGAAAGCTGGGAGGATCAGTAATAATGGTCCTGGATTAAGGGACCTGGGGTATCAAGGAGAAGCAGGGGTATTACATATCATTTTTACACTGAGAATAAAGACCCTCGTAGCACTTCACTGATAAATTTACATCTGGATAACCAAACTACATCCTTCAAGGTTAAAAGGCAAAAGAAGTCCAAATGCGTTTTGGTTCTGAGATTAGGAAAAGAGCAAAAGTCAGAGCTAGGGCAAGAGCTTCCTTTCAGGCTCTGGGACCTTCCTTTGCTCTTAATTTAAAATGACCTGAACCCCAGAGTTAAGAGACAGTGCACAGGAGTCAAGGTGCTCGCTCTTCAGCCAGCCGACCCTTGTTTAATCCCTGCACAGCATATGGTGTTTTGGATATTTAGAGAAATCTCCGATTCTCTCATCAGAGGTGATCAAATCAAATCCATATACACTTAACAGTCTCAATGTACTCATTGTAAAAAGATAACAATTTATTTTATTTATCTATTTTTTCTTTTTTAATTTTTGGGTCAGACCCGGCAACGCTCAGGGGTTACTCCTAGTTTTGCACAGGAATTATTCCTGGAGGTGCTCGGAGAACAATATGGAATGCTGGGGATCGAACCCAGGTGGGTCGCATGCAAGGCAAACTGGCAAACTGAACTGTTGCTCTGGCCTCAACAGAATATTTTAAGGGTTTTAAATTTTTCCGAATTTTGTACTTTTTTTAAAAAAAACCACTTCTGCTATCACTTCATCAATTAAAAAAAAAAAAACAAACACAGTATGGCAGCTGGAACAACAGTACAGTGGGCAGGGCATTTGCCTTGCATGCAGCTGACCCCAGTTTAATGTCCGGCACTACAATCGTCCCCAGCTCCCTGCCAGAAGTGATCCCTGAGCACTGCTGGATACAGCCCAAAAAAACAAAACCTATGATTTTTTTTTCATTTTGAGTTTACAATAAGAGTTTGAAAAGTGCTATTTAATATGAAACAACCATGGAGTGAAAATGTCCTGTGCTATTCAAAAGTCAGCTGTGGGGTGCTAATAAGCAACAGGTATTATGTGAGTACGATATCCCGTATTGTGGAACACTTCCTAGTATAAGTAAATTTTAGATTCCTCAACAGTATAGTAGACTGTCACTGTCACTGTCCTCCCATTGTTCATGGATTAGCTCAAGCAGGCCCAGTAACGTCTCCATCGTGAGACTTGTTGTTACTGTGTTTGGCATAGTGAATACGTTATGGGTAGCTAGCCAGGCTTTGCCTTGCGGGTGAGATACTCTCAGTAGCTTGCTGGGCTCTCCGAGAGGGGCGGACAAATCAAACCTGGGCCGACTAGGTCGGCCACGTGCAAGGCAAATGTTCTATGCGCTGTGCTGGAAAATGCTACAAGTAGAATGAAAATACAGGAACATCTCAGTCACAGCAAAATTCATACAGAACAAGTCTGAGAGGAAAGAAGGAGTTTATTACTCTTTTATGGAGGGGGGTGTTGGGGCCACACCCAGTGGTGCTCAGGGTTCGCTCCTGGTGGGCTTGGGGAACCCTATGGAGCACCGGGGACTGAACCCGGGTGGGCAGCATGCAAGGCAGTGTCCCAGCTGCTGTGTTCTCTCTCTGACCCTTCTTGTTTGTTCCGGGGACACGGCAAGTGGCGCTCGTGGCTTGTTCTGCTCTGCTCTATCCAGCCTGATGCTCTCCGGCTCTCCGAACTACCTCTCCAGCCCAATTCTTAGCTCGGAAGCAGAAGAAACAGCATCAGAATGAATGCTTTTACTACCACTTAGCACCAATTTCTAAAAACATTCCAACTGCCCTCCTGTGACACTTCAGTTAAACGAATACCTACCTTCTTGAATTTCTTGAAATTCTTTAATTGACCATAATCATGATTTACACTAGATGCCTTTCTGGAGTCAGAATTACTAACCACCAGTGATCTGAATTCCGTCAGTAACAGGTTCCTTGGCAGCATCTCTTCATCCTCCTGAAGTTTGTCATTATTCTTAAGTGAGGTTAAGATAGACACGGAGGAAGAAAGAAGAAGGAAAAGGAAAATTACTCGTTATTTAGAGATCTATAGAAATTCAAAAACCCGAAAATAAAGGTGGAAAGGTCTGATCTGGGACCTGCACTTAAGAGTCAATCTGATTTACTTCAAAATGAGACAAAAATTCCAACTCGCTAACCTTCTAGCATTTATAATGCACTCAATTGGTGGCAGAAGAATTAAAAAAAAATAGTATTTCTAATGTACTATTCTGTTCTAGGCACAGTACCTTAGAATTGCTTTCTTCTTTTCATTGAAGCCATAGGAAGATATTTATATTGAAGCCACATAAGAAGATATTTGCATATATTATAATCTATTTTTATAAAGAACCTCAGGAAAGCAATGATTGTAGACATATTACCTCAATAACAGACATGCTAAGTTTTCCCACCTTAATAGTTAGTAATTCCGTTTAAGATTCTTTCCTGTTGCTGGATAAGATGGTTTGCTTTATGTCAATCACTATTAATAAATTGTTTACCACTATTCAAGGAAGGCCATCCTAGTATTTTCAAAAATGACAGTCATGGTCCTCCCAATGTTCATCGATTTGCTTGAGCAGGCCCAGTAACATCTCCATTGTGAGACTTGTTGTTACTGTGTTTGGCATATCGAATATGTCACGGGGAGCTTCCGTGTGGGCGAGATACTCTTGGTAACTTGCCAGGCTCTCCGAGAGGGGCGGAGGAATTGAACCCGGCTCTCCCGAAGCAAGGCAAACGCCCTACCGCTATGCTATCGCTCCAGCCCTTCAAAATTCAATTAACTATATATTCATAAGGAATTTGCTAATAGTCTGACAGGGGAAAGAAGGAAAAAGGGAAACTCAAAAGATTCAGTTTACAGGAATGAAACAAAATCAGGAATAAGAATACAAAGTAATAATGGCCCAGAACTTTACAAATGTTTCATAGCCACTGATGTAATTTACAACATTGTTGGACAAATGTCTACCTGATTTTACAAAAGCAAAGAATCTGACATTCATAAATGTAAAAATGATGTATTCAAGGACCTTATGGAGCAAAGGGCAGAGAAACTTAGGGTTCATAACCTGATTAACCTATTTTCAGAAGTAGCAAATCACCAAAGACAAAAATTGCAGAGAAATATAGCTAACCCTAAAAACTGCAAACTGACAGATGTCGATGAGATCACTTGACAGCCCATAAGTAGAATCGTCACAGAAATAAAAATTCACTAGTGATGGGATGGGTGCTGAAATATTATCTGCCTAAAACTATACTATCAACAACTTTGTAAATCACGGTTCTTAATTTAAAACTTAAAAAGAAATACAAAACAATAAATAAAAATCTCACAGGTAGTTCTTCTTTCGTTGACCATAGTGGTTCTTTCTTGACATCACATTTCTTCCCAATTTCATTTTCTTGCTAAATAAAGGAAAGATTGGTATCGGAATTATAAAATGGTAACTTTCCAAAGCAGTTCTAAAGAAACCCTAGTATAAAACCGACTTTGCAAAGACTCCTGCCGGGCGCATCCCTGCCCAGGAACTGTCTTACTCTCAGTCCTGGCGTGGAGTCTTAGCTCCTCCCTTCCCACCAAGCCCCAGAGGCCTGACTGCTCTACTAGAAACATTTCCCTGCCTCTCTCTCTCCTCTCTGTCTCCGCCCTCACATTTGTCTAGGCAAATTTCTTTAAATAAAATTATTTCACTTCAGTAAAAAAAAAAATAATAAAATGTCTTTCTGAAAAACCCCAAGGTAGCTATGATTTTGACCAAGTTACCCAATAATAGAAATAGAATTAGAAAAAATTCATTGTAATATTGCATAACAACGAAGACCAGCAGCGACCTAAGTTGTAAGTCATGTAACTTACATGCTGGATACTTAATATGTTAGGCTCATACATATGAATAAAAGAGGCACATAAGCAGTTGATTCCAAGTCTGCTAAACAAGATTTACAAGAGAAAGTATTACTAATTATCTGTAGATGGCAAAGCTATCAATGAACATACACACCGTCACACCACACCCACCACCCTACCAAACAGTCTATTTTCCCTCCATCAGGGTCTACTGGCCTGTCACCTCCCCAAAATCCTCTGTAATATTTGTACCCACCCCAACTTGAGGCAATTTCAGCTCATCAGGTCGAAATAAACATAGTATCAGATTCTTTTAATTTCTGAGTATCCACAAAGCCTTTCTCACAACAAATTCCTGAGAGAGCAAAACTGAAAGAATTAAATGTAGGCTCACTTGGCCTAGTTAAGACTGAGAAATTGTGTCAATTTAATGCTGTAATGTTGCAATATAATGCTGTACTCAGGCAAGAGGTTAGAAAGACGGAAATGCATTTCCAAAGGTTTGTCAGAATGATCTAAGTGGAACCTAACCTTGTAAACACTTAAAACACTTAATAAGCAGCCTTAACTGAGATCCCAGAAGGGCTTGGAGTTAAATTATAATGCAGATAGAATAAATGTATCTTAATAAAGGTATATATTATGTATATATCACTCAGCTCCTGGGAGAGAACAAGGCAGAGTCTCCTACCCTATGCCTGACTGTCTCCACCAGGGCCCAACAGCTGAAGACCACCAGGGCCCAGCCAAGGCCATGCTGGGACCACTCTCCACACACTTGGATGAGCCTCACGCATAAAAGAACTGGCAGAGGAACCCAGGTGTGTGGGACCCGGGGCTGAGATCTCCAAGCCTGCACGGTTTGGGACTGGACCTGCCAGTAACTAGACAGTTACACCCACCAACTGCCGTGTAACTCCAACAACGGCCAGGATCCAGAGATTATCACACTCAGTTCCTGGATCCAGAGATTATCACACTCAGTTCTCCTACCCTATGCCTGACTGTCTCCACCAGGGCCCAACAGCTGAAGACCACCAGGGCCCAGTCAAGGCCATGCTGGGACCACTCTCCACACACTTGGATGAGCCTCACGCATAAAAGAACTGGCAGAGGAACCCAGGTGTGTGGGACCCGGTGCTGAGATCTCCAAGCCTGCACGGTTTGGGACTGGACCTGCCAGTAACTAGACAGTTACACCCACCAACTGCCGTGTAACTCCAACAACGGCCAGGATCCAGAGATTATCACACTCAGCTCCCGGAAGCGCACGGACGCGGCAGCGTGACATCTTATCATCTCATCCTAATTTGGTCAAACTGTCAGGCTACCAAATGTAACCTGCCCACACGGCAGAGTCTGGCAAACTCCCCGTGGTATACCCAATATGCCAAATACCAGTAACAATGATGGGTCTCATTCTCCTAACCCTGAAAAAGCCTTGAATATGGCACTTTTAAAAAAAATCTCAGGGCTAGGACGAAGAAGACGTTACTGGCACCTGCTCGAGGCAATCGACGAACAACAGGGTGGTCGTGATCGTGATTGTGATATATATATATATATATATGTATATATATATATATAAATAAATGTAGAAAATCCTTTGGATTTCAACAAATATTTCATTAAACTAATTTCTCACCCTCCTCTCTAGTGGAATACAATGGTTAAATATATAAATTGCTTGGATCAATTAACCTCATTTGTAAAGTGAGTGAATCCTAAAAGCTCTGCTAATGAAGAACGCTTCTGTCTCAGTCTGGATAGAGTGGAATCGGATATCCCAGGATCGATCTTCCTTCCGTACTAACTGAACCAAGTTCATTAGAATTGTCCGGGCTCTCTGTTAACCAAGGGTGAGGGCTGGGGAAAGCAGAGACCATCACTAAACCCCAGGTACCCCTACTCATCACCTGGGGATCTTCCATCACTAAACCTCAGGTACCCCCAACTCATCACCTGGGACCCTCCACTCTCCGGCCGTGTGCAGAGCCGAGGAAGGCAGCCACACTGCTGCTGCACCTCCACTGGGGGAAATCCCTAAGCTACTTACTAAACAATTCAGAGAGACGGCAAAAGAATTTCTAAAAAGATAAAAGGAGGGGCTGGAGCAATAGCACAGCAGGTAGGGCGTTTGCCTTGCACGCAGTCAACCTAGGTTCAATTCCCAGCATCCCATATGGTCCCCCGAGCACTGCCAGGGGTAATTCCTGAGTGCATGAATCAGGAGTAACTCCTGTGCATCGCTGGGTGTGACCCAAAAAGCAAAAATAAATAAATAAATAAAATAAAAAGATAAAAGGAAAAAGGAGGAAGCACCGCGCTGAGAACCAGAATCACTGGGGTTCAGGTCTGTTCATTTATATATTTGTTTTTCTTCTTTAAAATGTTTTAAATTTCCTCTTTTAAAATCAAATCCCCATGATTCACCAAGTTCTAAAGTGATTCATGGCTGCGCTCAGGAGTACCATGACCCAGCGTACCACGACCCAGCATCATCCTCTGGCCGGGTCCACTTCGGCACCAAGGTCTCCACTCCCCTCCCGCCCTGCTGCCTCCCAGGCACGCACTATTTCCCACCTGCCTTTCTTCTTTCCCCTTAGAAGAAGGGGAAAGCACAACACGGCCGCTGAGCAGGTGCCATGCATGTCACTGGACCTCCTTTATCGCTGCGGCAGTGGCCACTTCCCACCCTGCCTCTGCCTCTTCCTGAACACCTCTCCCGTTTCTCGTGCCTCTGGGCACCTGTTATTCTCAATGTCTAGGGTTTCTTTACAACACACCTAGCAGAGGAGGGAGCTTGCTCTGTGCCCGGGAACCCTGATTTATAGGAAGTTTGCCAGGTGGTACTGATGCAGCGATGCAGAGAGGAGCCTGGGGGAGTCGCTCTGGAGAAACGACCACGAGGCCTTCAAAGGGTTCCACTGCACAGTTCAATGACTCGCACTGCTGCATGTGGCGGCCCTCCCTTCCCTTCTCCCCCATAAGGACTTACATTCCCACACTTAGCCAGGGCCCATGGGCAGTAGGGATGGCCGGCGTCAAAACTGACAGTGGAACTCTGCGGAAATCACAGCATCAAGTGCTGATGTTGTAAAATCTAGGCTCCCTCCTACTGGCCTACCAGGTTATTAGCTTAGGCACAGCTTCTCACTTACAGAGAGTAGGTCACTCCCTGATGCCTACAACAGCAAATACATGAAAGTTTTCTTAGAGTGGGGAAGACAAATTATTCAAATGAAAATTGAAATTCCAAGTAATGTTATACAAGTTTTGCCTAAAAAAAAAAAAAAAAGACCAATCAGGGGCTGAAGCAATAGCACAGCGGGTAGGGCATTTGTATTGCACATGGCTGACAGGGTTCTATTCCCAGAATCCCATACGGTCCCCCGAGGACCTCTAGGAGTAATTCCTGAGTGCAGAGCCAGGAGTAATCCCTGCGCATCGTTGGATGTGACCCAAAAAGGAAAAAAAAAAAAGACCAATCAGAAACATTGTCTTATTAGTTTTCCCCTTTCTGTGCCTGATTAAGGCATCTCTTATGCTGACCCTCATATTCAAATGTTTGCTAGGATACAGATCAACACAGAAAGTGAGTAGGACAACTACTAGCTGCCATTAGTTAGATCATACTATGCATCACTTAATAATGGGGCACATTCTTAGAAGGGTGTTATAAGGTGTTTTTTTCTCATTGCACAGATGGACCCACTGCAGTAGACTTTTGTTATGTTCAGGGGTCACAAGGTAAAAAACCACAGGAGTAAATTAAGCACAAAGGAAATGATGCCACCAGGAGATCAGTAGATGTGAGACGTGTAGGCATCTGTGGGCTAAAATGCTGAACTGTGACAGCTCCTATGTCACTGGATGCTGATTTGGGGACTCCCATAAGGTACGTGGTCTGCCCCTGCCTGAAGCATCACTGCGAGTATTAGCGAGTACTACTGCCATCACTTGAGTATGCTCGTACTACTACCTCTACTGTGCTGAGGTCACATCGGCGGCGTGCGGGGACGATTCCTGGGTCACTACTCAGGGCTACTCCCAACAGGGCTTGGGGGCACTGGGGGACCCGGCTCGAACCTGGGGCTCCAGGATGCCAGCACACCTAGCAGCCCTTGGGCATTCTCACTGGCCCCAAGTCAAACACTATTTTTAAAAACTTTACTCTTTCCTTTTGGTTTGGGGGCCCATACCCGGCTTTGTTCAGGGCTTACTCTCGGCTCTGTGCTTAGGGATGGGGAGACCAGAGAGAGTGCTGGGGACAGACGCTGACTGTGACACGGTCTCTCAGCCCCAATGGCTAGTTTTAACATCCTCCTTATACACCAACAAATTCTTCTACTTCACCCCAATGTTGAAGATACCGTCTCTTCTCAAGATGAAGACTGCATTACCCACAATAAAAATGTCTTTGTAACACTCAAGGATCTATTTCCAACAGTCATTAAAAAAAGGTTACTTACAGAGATTTTATTTTCTAGCTCCACTTCATCATTAAAAATGCCATTTGTTTCAATATCCAATTTTGGCCGTTTACTCTTATTTTTAATGCTGTCTTCTTTTTGAACTTTCACTTTGACATCTAATTCTGATTTCATGTCCTTGAGCAGCTGTTCCAATACTTCATCTTCTATGCCAATATCATCCATTTCTTTTCTTTTTCCCGGCTGTAGCTCTTCTATAGAAAGAGATTTACTAGCAGAATTTTTCACAGTGGATTTTAAATCTGTAAATAGACTATCTGAATTTTTGTCCACAGGCTCATTCTGGGATAGATTTTGCTCCTTATTTTTCCAGAGTGAGGATGAAATGGGCATTGTTTGTTCTGAAAGAGAACAAGACATTTCGGTTCTTGCAGATTTAGATGAAGACACTTCTTCATTTTCGTCATCCCTGTCCCTTCGGTTTGGAAGGAAAGAAAACACAAATAAAAAAATGAACACAGGTAGGGAACTTTTCACTTAGCAATATACATGCCTCCCATTGAATTAAAAACAATTCTTGGTTTTATCAGTAATCTTGTTGGGAACCAAAATAACAAACATTTGGAAATACTACAGAGTCCATACACTCTACTATTCTGATCATCCTCGTGGCTGGAATCATATGGACAGCTTGATCTTTACTGGAGTGACAACAGTTAATAGTTGTGGAGGAAAACGTAGAAAAATACAAAAAAGACACGTATGTAGGCAATAATGCACTATTTAATAATGTGGAGTGGGAAAATCACCCCCCATTCAGGAATGTACCTGAAGACAATGAAATGGATGAATGAGCTGTACTCAAAGTAAGTCAGAGTTGATAAAATTCACAATAAATCACAGACCAACACTGCAAGTGTAACAGGACCAAGTTTTCTTTGCTTTTGTGAGGGAGACGGAACAGTGGGGTCCCCCTGGGGTGTCAGGGGCCATTTCCATAAATGCTTAGGAGCCAGCCATTCTTGGTGGTACTCAGCTGGTGCTAGGGACTGAAGCTTGGCTCCTCCATGTGAAGCTCTCACTCCACCCTACTTTCCTATCATTTTTCAACAAACACCAAATTCTTTATTCACCTGAAGGGGCTGTAGTTAATAGTGCAGCCGTAAGAGTGCTTGCCTTGAATGTGTGGGTAAGTGGGATCTTGGATTCAGTCGTCAGCAACACACCTACTTATCTATTTATCAATCTATCTATCCATCCAACCACCCACTATTCCCTCCCTCCCTCCTACCATCCTAAGACCCAGAGAGAGAGGACACAAAAGTTTGAGAACCTAATGACCTTAGCGACATATCAACATTTCCGAGAGTAACAACATTCTCTAGAAGCGTGTTTGAGCAGACGAACATTCTTTCTAATCACACGGCAAGTCCTAGTACAAAGAGAATAAATCTTACGAACATACCTTTTTCTGGCAGAAGGCTGAAAGTAGTTTTTGATGGTGTTCGTCTGCTGCTGTGAAGTCCGATCTCTACTTTTATTCACACCCCAAAATGTAGTTGGTGAAAGCTGGTAGCTTGGGGCCTTCATCTGATCCTGAGTTTTGGCTGTATTATTGTGAGGGCTTATTTGGGAGGGTTCCTTTAAAATAGATACTTCTTGTGAAGACTTTCCGAAATTCTGCTCCATTCTGGGGACTTTGACATCTTTTGGCCTTTCACTCAAATCCATACTGTAGCGAGAAAGAAGAATACAAAGTGATCACTCGAGTTTGTGATAATTTTGGACACAAAGTCCCTTAAAAAGCACTAGTGTGAGGTGCTAGAGAAAAAAGTAGAGCAGGAAGCGGGTGTAAGGCGTTTTCCTTACACACACCTGACCAGGATTCGATCCTCAGCATCCCGTATCATCTCCTGGAGTAATCTGCACAGCCAGGAGTGACCCCAAGCACAGCTGAGTGTGAAACAGAGACTAAAAACAAAACCCCAAAGCACTAGTGAGGGCGCAGGAAGGGAGCATTTGCAGTGTGCACTGAGGGGCAAGCGTGCTCGACTCTCGTGTCCGAGGGCTCCAGCTCAACCCAGCACAGCCCCCCCCCTCCCCGTGGCAGAGCAAGTGTGGGAGCCCCGTGGCCGTGAGGCTGCCAGCACCCCCGTCATGAGGCTAGCCCAATGGTCCCAGGAAGTGAGCCCTGAAATGAGCTCTGTGCACAAGCAAAACTAACAGATGGAAAAGCAGACAAGGAATAATCTATTAATTTAGTACCATATCAAAAATGGCCTATTCGTTGAATTTAAACTGAATTACATACTTTTATTCCCAGCCAGATGACATCATCTCTGCAAGTAAGCTATGAGAAAAAGATTGTACTGCTCTTGTTTTGGGGTCAAACTTGGTGCTGGCGGCTACTCCGGGCGAGGTGCCTGGGGTTGCCAGGAGGTGCAGGGATCGGAACTGGGCCACTCCGAGCAGTGCCTGCACGCTCCCCATCAGCCCGACCCTTAGCACATCAGAAAACCACTCGAAACACATGTACGTGGGCTGGAGAAGGGAATACAGAGTTTAGGGACTTGCATAGTACGAGGTTGAAATTCTGGCTCTGCAAAACGTCCCCTGAGCACTACCAGGCCTGGCCCTGGAGCACTGCTGGGTGTGGGCGCTCGCATCCTGCCAAAGAAACACCCTCCCCCCAAATACAAACCACACATATTCATACACAATCCCAAGTCAAGTACATATTATACTTTTACTATTCTTATATGCCACACATATAAAATAAAACTCGTACTCAGTGCTGTTAAAAACACCAAGAGTTTCTCTTTAGGAAGTGTTGTATGAGGGGCATGGGGTTTGGGCCACACCGAGGTGCTCAGGGCTTATTCCAGGCAGTGCTTACAGGATGCCGGGATTCACACCAGGGTGGGCTGCATGCAAGGCAAGCGAAGCCTCTGCAGCCTCTCTTTGGAAAAAAGCTTCACCAGGGGTTAGAGAGGAGAACAAGTAAGACACTTGCCTGCCCACAAATGACCTGGGTCCCGTCCCCAGTACTGCATCCCATGAATACTGCCAGGAGTAATCCCTGAGGAGGGCCAACCCTTTGCCCCCACTCCAACGTTTTATCAAAAGGCTGGAGGACAAGCCTGACATGTACCAGTGTACAAGGCCCTGAGTATGATTCCTGGCACCCAAAAGCTTCTCTGGAACTATTTGTGGCATTCCCCAAAGAAAACCACAGCCGACACGACAGCACAAGTTACATATGGCCTCAGTATAAAACATGGGTGTGTTGGGGCTGGAGAGATAGCACAGCGGGTAGGGCGTTTGCCTTGCACGCGGCCGACCCGGGTTCGATTCCCAGCATCCCATATGGTCCCCTGAGCGCCGCCAGGAGTAACTCCTGAGTGCAAAGCCAGGAGTAACCCCTGTGCATCGCCAGGTGTGACCCGAAAAGCGAAAAAAATAAATAAAATAAATAAAGCATGGGTGTAGCAAACACAGAGCAAAGTCTAATACAGAAAATATGCAGCATTGTAGGTGAATTTCAACATGAATAGTCATCATGGAATGTAGCACTGCAGCACTGTCCTCCCGTTGTTCATCCATTTGCTCGCGCAGGCCCAGTAATGTCTCCATTGTGAGACTTGTTGTTACTGTGTTTGGAATATCGAATATATCATGGGTAGTTTTCCAGGCTTTGCTGTGCGGGTGAGATACTCTTGGTAGCTTGCCGGGCTCTCCGAGAGGGATGGAGGAATTGAACCTGGCTTGGCCAGGCAGGCTGCGCACAAGGCAAACGCCCTACTGCTGTGCTATCGCTCCAGCCCATCATGGAATATATAAAATAAAATACACTGTCTTAAATGGAATCGATTATAGAATACAAAAAACTTCCCTTACTTTCTAAAATACAGAGCAAAAACTCTTCACATAAAAAGAACTACACAGAAAATATTTGTGAATAAATACTAATTATATTTAGAAGATGCATAGTAGTAGTCTACAGTGTAAAATTGGTAATATATAGTCTTTGGTGTAAATTGGCAAGGACAAAAAAGTTTTTATCTTATGGACTGCAGGCCAAATATGGTCTGTCAGTTTTCATAAGTTAAGTGTGACTGGAAGAACACCACACTAATTCACTCACATGCCATTTCTGGCTACTTTAATGCTACAGCGAGGGCTGATAGCCCCAACAGAGGTCAATGGTCCACAAGCCAAAAGCATTTACTTGCCAAGCCAGCCAATGGGTTGTGTCCACACTTAGCATGAAGGAATCCCGGGTTCAATCCCACTATCTGGTCCCCTGACCACAGAGCCAGGAGTAGCCCCTGAGCACTGACGGGTATGGATCCAAAACAAAAAAAAAATATCCAAATCTTCCATCTTTTATAGGATGTTGGCTGTTCCTTGTCCAGAAAAACTGTCATCTCTGGAAGATCACTCTCCAAACTTCTGTTTCCTAAGAGATGAGCTGCACACAGTGCTGCCATCAGAAGCACACTGCTAAATTCCTGAGAGGATAGTAATGACAGCTTAGTAACCAGAAGCCTTACCAGGTGTCTGCCTGCTCCGATTCGGAGTCTGTTGCACCTGCTGTAGCAATCACCTGCGTTACTGGCATCAAACTGTCATTCAGTGATGAGCTCTGGGAAAGGCTTGGTGCTGAAGCCATCTTCCATCCTGTAAGTTACACAAGGGAAGAATCAGGATGTCGGAGAGTAAGAGGGACATTTGACCGGTAAAATGATTAGACAGGGGCTGGAGCAATAGTACAGAGGGTAGGGCGTTTGCCTTGCACGCGGCTGATCTGTGCTCGAGTCCCAGCATCCCATCTGGTTCCCCAAGCACCACCAGGAATAATTCCTGAGTGCAGAACCAGGAGTAACCCCTGAGCATCGCTGGGAGTGACCCCCCCCAAAAAAGAAATGATTAGACAGCCATGCTGAAAAGATCAACCAGATTATATAGCACAGGATCATCTCTAGTCAATGGAGTCAGAACTATTCAATTTAATAGCCTATAGCTTATATAATAGCCTACAGCAACTTGTTGGTGTCTGTCATGGATTTTCCAAAGTGAAGTAAACTGAAAGCCATAGCAGATCATTACTGTGCCTTTACAAATTCTCTGTGACGTACAAAGAAAGCAAAAGAAACATAAAAAGGAATCAACTTCAGTTGTAATTCAAATTATACTTTAATAGACAAAAACGTTTCACTGTTGTCCTTTAAAGATAAATTTCCCTACAGAAAATGTCTCCAGCATTCTGTCCTTGCAAATAAAAACTAATGTGAAGCTTTTGAGAATAAATATGATTTTGAAAGAAGAAAGGTAAACGATTTTGGTATTTTTAAAATTAGGGTTTTTTTGTTATTATTGAATCCCCCTTAGATTCATAATTACAGAGTTGTTTGGTGATTGGGTGTCAGTCATACAACGTTCCAACACCCATCTCTTCTCCAGTATACAATTTCTCATCACCAATGTCCTCAGTTTCCCTCCTACCCGCCTCTATGGCAGGTACTTTTCTTCTCTAGAAGAGAGGTAAAACTTCTTAGATGAAAAAAATTTTTTTTGTCACTGCAGAATATCATACTTAATAGGTTTATTTTATTCAGAATAGCAACAATTCAAGTTCCCCTGTTTTGAGGGAGGGGGCCACACCCGGCGGTGCTCAGGGCTTACTCTTGGCTTGGTGCTTAGGGATCACTCCTGAAGCTGCCGAGGACAGAACCAGGATCAGCCACGTGCAAGGCCTTAACCCCTGGATTATCTCTGTGGCTCACAAGTGATTTGATTTTAAAGTTAGAAAGAAGGGGCCAGAGCGATAGTACAGCAGGCAGGGCATTTGCTTTGCACGTGGCTGACCTGGGTTCAATCCCCGGCATCCTGTATAGTCCCCTGAGTAATTTGATAATAAAATGAGCCAGAAGTCATTTCTGAGTGTAAAGTCAGGAAGAACCCCTGAGTATCCAAAGTGGAATACACAACACAAAAATTCTGACACAGAGGAGAGTTACAGAAGAGGAAAAGAGGTTATAAAAACTCAAAGTAAGTAAGTGAGCATAGTGGAATGAGTTTACTTTTTTGGTTTTTCAAGGGATTTTTATTTTTAAAGGTCAGCCCTGGCAGAGACGTAGGGGTTATTCCTGGCGGTATTCAGGGGACTGACCCCAGGTCCTCTGCAGGCAAAGGCAGAGCTCAGGAGTCCCACCCTGAAAGGCAACGCCGGCACTCTGGGGCCAGAAGTCAGGATGAGCGCAGACTCCAGGGACCATCCATGGCTCGTGTCCTCTGTAGGGAGAAGCGTAAGCAAAGGGTGGCCACAGGCTGAACTCTTGAGGACTCCGCAGCCTAGACAAAGGGTGTGAGGATTTATGTGACTTTCAGGCAGCTTCTATGCAAAGGAATAGTGAGTCTAGTGGCAACGTTTGTAACTAGGCAATGGAATGAGGATGGAAGCAAGATCATTACTGGGTGAGTTCCAGCGTTCTCTGGGATGAAGCGTTTCAGAGCGGGCCACGGCCACGGGTCAGAAGTGCTGGCACAGCTTCTGAGCAAAGCCAGAGCAGGGGACTTTCAGGCTTTGTTGATGGAGAGGGAAAGAAACACTGAAATCACTGAACTCTGCCGTCTTATTTCCATAAGAGGCATCACTCTAGTCCTTTCCAGGATAATCTATGAAAACGGGCTATGAGCTTAGAATCGGCCAAAGCGAAGCCACCGCCCGCCCCCAACGCTACACCCCTAATGAGATGCCCTGGCTACACACCAGGATATTCCAAATAATGGAGAAAGTAAAATTGCATTAAAAAAAGTGTTCCTGAAGCATATGTCCAGTGGAGAACTAGATTTACAAAAGGGTAAATGAAGGAGAGTTTACAAATGGAGGCTGGACCCCAGATGTAGCTTCGTGGAACAACAGACGTTTTACAGGTGTGAGGCCCTGGGTGCAGGCACCCAAATAAAAACAGAAACCAGCAAATGTGGGACACAAAGAATGACTCACCACCCAAGGATGCCACTTGCCTTGACTTTTTCGTTGTGTTCGAGTCCCGCTAGCAGGGCTTTTTGTCTCCCAAACAGTGATCCACTGTCAGGAAATGGCTATTTACGACCCAAGCGCTTTCTAAAGGCCACACAGAGTTCTCGGCTTTTCTTTGGTTCTCTCAGTGCCCAGATTCAACCGACAGCTAGAGAGAGGCATTAGACTCTGAATGAATTCTGGGGACATTTAGTCATCAGCCAGGAGAAAGATTCAGCAAACCACAACTGCACCGAGAGAAGTTCCTTGGACAGATTTTTTACAAGAACTCAAATTTCTTTTTAATCCTTGGACAGATTTTCACAAGAACTCAAAGTACTGGTATATTTTGTAAAACTGCGGTGGTCCCACCAACTAGTGCCAGGTGGGGGGAATGATAACGATGAGTGAATGTAGCGAGAGCCTTTAAAAGTGCTTGTATTTGAAGCACTTTTTCAAAAAAAAAAATTTACTTTCTTTGGAGCACGGGAAGTGGGGGAGGGGGCACACCCAGTGATACTCAGGGCTTACTCCTGGCTCTGCACTCAGGAATTACTTCTGGCAGGCAAGGAGGACCGTATGGGAAACCAGAGGTCAAACCCAGGTAGGCTGTGTACAAGGCAAATACCCTATGGGCTGTACTATCGCATTAGCCATGGAAGTACTTTTTTTTTTTTTTTTTTTGCTTTTTGCTTTATGGGTCACACCTGGCTCCTGGCTCTGCACTCAGGAGTTACTCCTGGCGGTGCTCAGGGGGCCATATGGGATGCTGGGAATCGAACCCGGGTCGGCCGTGTGCAAGGCAAACGCCCTACCCGCTGTGCTATCGCTCCAGCCCCTGTGGAAGTACTTTAAAAAAGAAAGATACACAGCAAGGACTCAGTAGCGGGAGCATGAGGGCAATGGTATCGAAGGAACATATGTTGGTCTCTTTGGTTCTTGGATCACACTCTGGTGCTCAGAGGTTACTCCTGGCTCAGTGCTCCTGTGGAGGTTGCGCCTGCTAGTGGGGGTGGGGGGGGCATACAATGTCGAGAACTGAGTCTGAGCCTCCTACCCGCCAAGCACATGCTCCAGCCTGCCCAACTGCGTCTCAGGACTGAAGAAACATTCATATCCGAACGATATGACACTAGCCACTCCCCTGATCCTGTGTTGTACCTTTACCTCTCCTAGACACGCCCACACTACCCTCTCTCCAAACTTCACAGGACAGACGCCACCTACACTGTCCTACAACTAGGTCACAAGAGCACTGGCTTTAGAATCACTGGTCTGAATCAAAATACTCCTGAATTTTCTGCTCAGTATCTGCTTCATTTCTTAACTTCTCTGTATAGTTGTTATACAACTATAAAATACAATTCATACAATTTATCTTAAAAATAATTGATTCATGTTGTTCTGTTTTGTTTTGGGCCACATCCAAGGGTTCCTCGGGACTCACTCATGGCTGTGCAGAGTGACCACTCCTGGGAGTGTTCAAGGTACCCACATGCAGTGCCAGGTATGCCAACTGGGGTCGGTGGGTGCAAGGAAAGCCCCTTCATCTGGGTATACTTCTCTGACCCAAGTGATTAACTTCTGGCGATGTGAAACACTTAACTTCAGTTTGCCAGTTCCTAAGGCAGAGTCTGGCAAACTCCCAGTGGCGTACCCAATATGCCAAATACTAGTAACAATGATGGGTCTCATTCTCCTAACCCTGAAAGAGCCTTGAACGTGGCACTTTTTAGAATCTCAGGGCTAGGATGAAGGAGACTTTACTGGTGCCTGCTCGAGGCAATTGAGGAAAAACAGGATGATCGTGATCGTGATCGTGAAGGCAGTAGTTATTGGGACAAATCAGTGACCACACACCTACAAGGTGGTCCCAGCTCTAGCCTCTCTGAGCCTCTCTGCAGATGATCTCCCAACCCGCCCATGCCTTTCTGTGAGCTGCAGCAGTAACGGGGCCCGGAGAGCAGACGGTGACGGCGCTATCTGGCCTGTGTCTCAGTCTAGTAGTGAGTGCTGACAATGAGCTACAGAAAAAAAACAGCACGCAAATCAGTACATACTAAATGCAGATGTTCTGACAACTAGAGAACAAATAAAGCAACTAAATGAGCATACAGAAATTTTAAGGGAGAAAAGCAAGGAGGATGGAAGCTGGAGAAATAGGACAGCAGGCAGGATGCTTGCTGTGTCTGTGGCCAACCTAGCTGGATCCCCGGTTTCCCAGAGGATGCCCCGAGCCCACCAGGAAGTGATCCCCAAGTACGGAGGCAGAAGTAAGACCTGCGCATCACTGGGTGTGCCCCTCAAAACAAAACAAAACAAAACAAAAAAGCCAGGAGGAAAACTAAGAGAATCATCTTGATGACAATAGTGGCTTAACTGTATTTTTTTTTAATTAGGGAAAGATGTTTTAAATAAGGAAGGAGTTTTATGACTGCCTTTGAGTAATGTGGCTTTTGTGACAGTCAATACAGAGACACCTATAGTGAGATTCTTTACCTACCCATGAACTCATGCCAAGGAACTAGGAATCATTTCCAGTTCCTCCAGCACCAATTTCTGTGGTTACCCAACACATTCTGCTCCTAAACACTTCACAACCACCTCACACACCCAGGTCTGCATGGCTGTTTCCCTTTATCACTCCCCTTCTGCTGTTCTCCTCACTGCTGCTATAGCAGACTGGTTCTCGCTGGATTCTCTGCTACCCAGATTCTCCCACGGTGGCCTCTTCTGGTCGACCACCCAGGCCAGGGGACCTGAGGGCTCCCTCTGCGGTGGATCCTTTCCTGACCAATTCCCGGCACTAGAGAATCCCCTGTCCGCGCCTCTCTTGCGCTTGGCTCGAACTGATCAGGTCTACCCCTTGGCGACTTGGCTATATCGTGACTTTCGGACTATCAAGTTCTCAGGAACGGATATCCTGTGTGCCCCTTTTGCCACTGCATCTTCTTCTGCTAATCACTATTGTTATCACAGATGTTTACTGAAGGAACAATGAAAAAAAGAGAGAAGCAGATGAGTTATAAAAAGGGATACAGAGGGTCACCCTTTGGCAAGTAAAGAATAATGTCCTTAAAGTCTGGCCTTGAGTTACACAATAAAGTCACTGTCCTCCCGTTGTTCATCGATTTTGCTCAAGGGGCCCCAGTAATGTCTCTATTTTTTAAGACTTGTTGTTACTGTGTTTGGCATATCGAATACGTCACAGGTAGCTTGCCAGGCTTTGCCGTGCGGGCGAGATGCTCTGGGTAGCTTGCCAGGCTCTCCAAGAGGAGTAGAAGAATCGAACCCGGCTCAGCTGGGCCAGCTGAGCACAAGGCAAACACCCTACCACTGTTGCTAAAAAAAAAAAAAAAAAAAAAAAAAAAGTCTATAAAATGATACTTCTGATTACCTGGACTGGGCTGTCCCTTAGGATCACAGTAATTATCTGTTGTCATAAAAATAACCGCCAATCCAATTTCTGCTTCAGGAATGGGTCGAAGACCTTGCCTATTGAGAAACAAAGAAGTTTTAGTGTTACCATATACCAAAGCCTTTAACTTTTATTAAGATGTTTGCTGCTCCTGCCTTCCCGAGAGAGATATCTCATTCCCACAAGACTCATTTCATCTGTAAAATAAAGGTCTGAAATATAACCTATATCCCAGCTCTAAGATTCTATCATTTTCAGAAGAACAACAGTGCCACACGGACGAAGCAATGAAATAGATTTTTATAAGGAATTCTATGATTAATAAGGTCCTGTCATCAAACTTGAAAGAGAGAAAAAAGGGAAAAAAAGTACAAAGCATTGTATTACTTTTCAAGTGTTAACAAGTTTTAGTCAGTTTTAAGTTTACAAAATCAAATCATTTTATCTGATATACATGCATACATGTATGCATGTATATCAATTGTGAATTGTGAATCAATCCTATTATTGTGAATCATTGTGAATCAATCCATTGTGAATCAATCCTATTATTCTGCAATGAAAGTGGTGGTTAATTTGTGCCATGACAAGAATGTGATAACATTTTATAGAAACTACCCCTCGCTTGTGAAGACCAAGCTACAAAACTCCTTTCCAGATTTACTGAAAACATTTTAAGGAACTGGGGCTGAGAACAGAGCCCAAAGGGGTGAAGAGCATGCGTGGAGCGTGTGCATTTCTGAGTCTGACCTTGTCACTGCATGCTCTCCAGCACTGCCAACTCCTGAGCACTGGGCCCTGAGCACTGCCAGGCCCGATCAGCGCTGTCATCACCCACTGGAGCAATGAACCGTCGGGTCTTTGCCAATGGGTCTCAAGCAGGAAGGGTCCCCAGTTTCCCAGCATCACCTCTGGGGAGTCCCATAAGAAACAGGCAAAACTTCGGGAGAGTAATTTTTTTTAAAGGGAGGACGACAATGATCCCAACTGAAATAGGAACATGTCTTTCACAGAAGAGAATCAAACCCAACAACCGCCTAAAGGACCCAAGAGACATCAAGAGACATCCCCCAAGAACTCAAACGATAACAGTGATGCTGGGGAAACAAATCCAGGTCATGCAGCCTGACCTCAGCCATGTGCCACTGACACTCCAAGTTCAGTCTGCAGGGAAAGCAGTGGCACCCAGGAATAGTCTATAGAGAGGCAGTGGGCCACGGCCTGGATGTCTGTGTCACTGATTCTGACACCACCCAGTGAGAAAACAGCCTATCACTATGGCCATGGCTCTAGCTGAGTCCAATTTGCCTCGACCAAAATTCGGTCTGGCCTCAGTTGTCACTGAACTGACGGAACTGTGGCAGCCACAGCTATCAGTGGTCTGGACTCAGTGGACATGGACAGGGGTTACTGAAGGCACAGGCTTTCTCAAACTATAAAACTGCTCTCCTGGGGCTGGAGTGATAGCACAGCAGGTAGGGCATTTGCATTGCATGCGACTGACCCGGGTTCTATTCCCAGCATCCCATATGGTCCCCCGAGCACTGCCAGGGGTAATTCCTGAGTGCAGAGCCTGGAGGAACTTTTGTGCATCGTTGAGTATGACCCCCCCCCCCCCAAAAAAAAAAAACACCTGCCCTCCTGCTCAAGAAAAACTCTATGGGAGGCCAGAGAATACAGAACAAAATGGCCCCTGGCGATGGGAGGGACCAGCCTGAGCACAGCTCCACCCCGAGCGCCCTTCTTCAGTTCCCTAGAAGGCAGGAAGAGGCCACGGTGGCCTGCCTTCCCCAGGTACTGTAAAGGTTCAGTGTCTGACATGGGCGTGACTCTCAGAACAGCCAGGCTGGCACACAGCCCTGTGTGTTGGCTCTCGGAGCGTCCCACAGGGAACACACTCCCTGAAAGAGGCCTTCTCTGTTTATTTTTGTCTTTTTTTTTTTTTTTTTTTGCTTTATGGGTCACATCCGGCGATGCTCAGGGGTTCCTAGTGCTGTACTCAGGAATTACTCCTGGCAGTGCTCGGGGGACCCTAAGCGATACCGGGGATCGAACCTGTGTCAGCAGCGCGTAAGGCCAATGCCCCACACCGCTGTACTATCCAGCCCCCAGATCTTATCTATTAAAAATAAACTTCTCCCCTTTCCCCTGCTATCTGGCTTCCTTGGTGTGCATTTATCATTATCATTTTTCTTTATAGCCCCCCTGACTGTTCCGACAGTAGTATGGACCTAGAGTAACATGGACCTCGCCATCCTGTTTGCCACTAAATTCACAGTGCCTAGAAAATACCGGAACCACTATCCCGGTTTATTTTAGTTGGAGATAATTTGTTTTTTCAGTTTCTGTACCACACCCAGTGATGTTCAGGGTTACTCCTGGCTCTGTACTAGGAATCACTCCCGAGGCTCGGTGATCCAACCACATGGGATGCTGGGGATCAAAGCCCAGTTGGCCGAGCAAGCATCTTACCCTCAGTGTGTCTCACTAACCCTGGAGGGCAAATACATTTCAGCTCCAGGCAATTTGGGGGGAATTTTAACTTTCTCAAGTTTTACATATTCTAAAGAAAAGCATATAGGTGTTTTATATATATATATAATTGTCCTCCCATTGTTCATCGATTTGCTCGAGCAGGCCCAGTAACGTCTCCATCGTGAGACTTATTGTTACTGTGTTTGGCATATCGGATACATCACGGGTAGCTTGCCAGGCTCTGCTGTGCAGGCGAAATACTCTCGGTAGCTTGCCAGGCTCTCCGAGAGGAACGGAGGAATCGAACCCGGGTCGGCCATGTGGCTGCGTGCTAGGCAAACGCCCTACCGCTGTGTTGTTGCTCCAGCCCATATATATATACACACACACACACACACACACATATATATCTCACTTTATTATTCTTTCACCAGTTAATAATACCATACCTTTGGAGAATATCCACAATGGAAAGAATCCACGTTTTCTGTGAGTCAGGAATCAACGTAGATGCGTTTGTTATTCCCACGTCAACAACACAAGTTCCAGGAGCAGAAAAAAAACGATCATCTTCTTTATTTTCTTCTGTCAACAGCCTCGCCTTTCCTCCTCCGAAAACTACCGCTGAACTCAACTTTTTATGCTGAAAGTGGAAAGTGGAAAGAAAAAAAAAAAGTTACAATTAGTTTTAATAAATCAAAAAGTCACAATTAATTTCTTAGTGGGGAGTATTCTTGACCCTGCTGGGGGTCACATGGGGTATGGCTAAAGGCCCTGGGGGTGCCCTGGGGGCTTTGGTGGTACCTGGTGTCTTGGTGGTGCCCTGGGGCCTTGCAGTACCAGGGACCAACTCAGAGAGTAGCAGGTACAAGGTCTGTGCTTGGCCCCTTGAGCCACAGTGGAGTCCCAGAATCAGACAATTAAGTCCCCCAAGTATGCCGGTAAGATTTGAGAAGGACTATAAAATTAAGATTTAAGTAAATCTGATCCCACATCTTGAAGACAAGCTGCACTTCCGCTCTGAGAGAATCCTTAATCTAGCAGAAACTACTTCAGGAGCCCTAAGAGGGAACATGACACTGTCCGCAGAGGCCGCCACAGGCATCTGGATGCTGATTTGGCCAACTGTCCCCTCCAAATCCACGTCCTTTTCTCACTCGTATCTTCACATAGGTTTAATAGATTAACTGACAGATGCCCACAGATACCAGGTCCATCTATGTGGACGCTGGCCATGTTCAGAGCCTGGGCACTTCCTTTTTTCATTTTTAACATTCACACATTGATACAAAATTCTCAGGCAATGCACCAATAGGGATTGGTAAGAATAATCATGTCACCTAGTTTTTAATTTTCTTTTTTTTTTTCGACGCACAAGGTAAATATTTATCAAGGAGGCTGAGCCTAAGTTCTAGTCGGAAATATAGCTTGGGATCACTTCTCACAATAACAAGGCCTCGAGGGAGGACGATGTAGTTACAATGACAAGGCCAGGAGGGCGGACGATGTAGTTGCACTGAAGGACTCTACGCTACAACCTGCTCCCTTCCAGTGTTCTGGCAAAGTTTCTGAAGCCACAACTGCGAAAACGGTTCTGTGTTCAGAGGATGAGGAAGAATCGCTGGGGCTGGAGGCAGTACAGCAGGGAAGACACTTGCCCTGCACCTGGCAGGCCTGAGTTCGATCCCTGTCACTCCACATGATGCCCTGAGCTCTGCCAGGAGTGATCCCTGAGCACAGAGCCAGGAGTAAGTCCTCAGCACCTCGTGGTATGGCCCCAAACCTCCCAAAAAGAATCAAGAAGAAAAGGGGAATAAAGGTGCCTTCCAAATAAGAAGCCATAAACAATGTGTGGCATAGAGCCATAAGACATTAGTTTGGCTAAATCTGATCAGACACTGAAGGCATTCAAGCATGGCACTAGCCAGCAAGTAATCTTTTCTTTTCTTTCTTTTTTTTTTCTTATGTAGGAAGTAATCTTTTCTTTAGGAAAATTAGCTTATAGCATTACCTGTTTAGCACTTAGAAATACAAATGTTTTTCCTCTGAAGATGTGTTTTCTTTCCTGCCGCCCTGACAGATCAATCTTCTTGCTTCCAATAGTTGGTTCATCGATAGAAGGACAAAAACTGTAAAATAAAGTACATCCTATTCATTTAATATTCCACGTGTACACCATTACACTGATAAATGTTGTAGTATTTGATTTCCAAAAGGCATTACTGTATGCCTATTGAGAGTTTTACCTGGAAAAAAAATGATCAAAAGTTTCTAAATGCTTTTTGAGAAATATGGAGATAGGTGCCACATAAAATAGCAAAACTGCTCATTACTCTTTACAAATAGAAAATACAAAAGTGGACAACTATAACAATGAATGAATGAATTATACAAATGTATGAATGACACAAATTATAACGGTTATGAGAAACATCATTTATAAAGATGGAATTCTTTTCGCACCTGGGTTTGCATGAGTACCAATATGTGTGTTCATAGACCAACATGAACTTCTATAAACCGTTTTCCGTTAGATCTCTTCAAAGTACTGAAGACACATAAAGAATTAATTTTCTCAGTTAAAATAAAATTCATAAAGATATAAAAACACAGTCCTGGGGCCAGAAAGATTGTACAGTGGGTAGGCACTTGCCTTTCACGCAGCCCCCCGGGTCCTCTTTGGGCCACTATGGAGTCCCTGAGCCCACCAGGAATGAGCCCTGAGTGCAGAGCCAGGATGAGTCCCAAGTACTGCTGAATGGTGTAGCCCCAAACCAATAAAACCAAACAAACAAGAGACCCTCCCCCATAACCACTATCTTCCAGTTCTTTAAATGTAATGCTAAAAGATATCTTTAATCATCCACAGAAATGAGGGAAAACAGAGAAGTTATTTAAATAAGTAATTATTAATTCTCTCATTAGTCGGCAGTATTAACTTTCCATATTATTGGCTCTTTTGCTACATTTATTTACAATCGACCAGTCTTTGAGCTTTTTATCTTTTATAAAATTTCTAATTTTCATAGACAGAAGCACCCAATATTGTCAAGGTACTAGTCCTTCCCAACTTTTATTTGTAGATAAAATGAAATTTCAATAAAAATTTTCAGCAATTTATTTTATGGATACAGATTAACAAACTATCTCTAGAGTTTCAAAAAAGGTTCAAAATCGCTAATAAAACACTGAAGGAGAAGGACAAATGTCATAAATAGAACTCAAGACTTAAGTTAAGCCATACTAGTGAAGAGAATGTATATTAAAAAAAATGGATAATCAGTGTGAGAGAACTGAGAGCCCAGAAAGATCATGATAATACAACAGGCTGATCACACTGAAGTGACCCTCTGACAAAGGAACAGAAACAGTACAGGAAGATTTTCAACAAATAATAACAAACTAGACATCCACAGTGAAAACAAATTCAAAGAAGCAAAAACCAATTTGCATCCAAACTGTAAATTCTCCATAAAAAACAGTTCAGGGAGAGGTGATAAACAGACACTTTCTCAAAGGTGGTCAACAGATGGTCAACAGACATATGAAAAAAAAATTTATCATCACTGCTTATGAAAGGACTGTGAATCCAAATGACAAAGAGGAATGAGAATGACCCATATCAAAAGTGCAGAAACAATAAGCGCTTGCGAGAACGCAACACATAAGGATCGTTATCCACAGAGAGTGGGACCATTCCATGGCTCTGCCTCTTCGGAAAAGGCTTGGAGACTTCTGCAGAAACTAAGAACAGAGCTGCCTCCGCCCATGCAATTGCACTTGTGGGCATCTACCAACCAAATACAAAACCAAGAATGCAGAGCGAGATAGATATACCTATGTTCAGTGTAGTGTGACATGATTCACATACAATAACCAAGATCTGGGAACAATCCAAGAGCCCAACAATGGGTGAGCAGCAGAGAAACTGTGGGACATTACATATACACACAATGGGACACGGTCAGCTCTGCAAAGGGATGAAATCTTGCCTCTGCTGAAACTCGGCTAGAAGAGGAGAAAGTGACTCAGAAGGAGAAAGGCAACACCAGAGGATCTCACACATCTGGGGAGCCTGGGAAGAGCAAGCAAGAGAGTAGACAGTCCCCAGCGGAAATGACCCTGAGACATGGCCCCAGAGCTGTGAGCTGAGGGCGGGGGAGGTGGTCTGGGATGAGGGTGTGGGATGGACTTCAAGAAAAAAATGGCGGTGGGATTCGGGTACACTGGTGTAGGAGCAATGCAAGCATAATAATCATAATCATGTGTTTTTTTTAAATTAAATTAATACTTCAGAATACATCACTGCCCTAACATGATTAATTAAAGAACTTGTCCAAAATAGAGGAGGGCATGGCTGGAGATCTCCCTGGTGCCATGACCATTTTCACAAACAGTGCCAGTGGTTACTCCTGAGCACGGAGCCAGGGCCGAGCCCTGAGAATCGCCAGTAGGGATCCCAGTTCTCCTGACCACTCCTCATCCCCAAATCAGCAGGGAATCAGCCCATGAGAAGGTGGGGACAAACAATGATATGTTAAGTGAAAAAAGCCATTCTTTAAATACATAGGGCTTATTATTCAACACACAGGAAATTGACACAAGTGTTATTTTCTCAATATTATAAAGAATTACCATAGGTAGTTATTTATTCAGTATTAGAGAGAATTACTATAAAAATTCAGGGCTGGAGCAATAGCACAGCGGGTAGGGAATTTGCCTTGCACGCGGCCGACCCGGGTTCGATTCCCAGCATCCCATACAGTCCCCAAGCACTGCCAGGAGTAATTCCTGAATGCAGAGCCAGGAATAACGCCTGAGCATCGCTGGGTGTACCCCCCCCAAAAAAAATTTTTTTTACTTTGTAATAATAAGGTAATAATAATTCATAAAAAATCATACTTAAAAGCTACATAAGAGACTATTATTCCTACAATATAAAATTCTGGAAAAGGATAATTCATGGGGAGCAAAAGATCAAAGATTGCTGGGAGCTGGGGAAATAAGATGAATAAGCTGGCAAAGAACAGAGTCATTTAAGAGTTACTCAGGGCTTACTCCTGGCTCTGCTCTCAGGGATCACCCCTGATAGGGTTGGGGAACCAGAGGGAGCATGGCGGAGTGAAGCCAGCAAGCGCTCTACCTGGTTCACTCTCTCTGGGCACTCTTCCATAGTCTTCTATGGATATGAGCTCAAGTAGCACTGTTGCAGTGTCCTCCCGTTGTTCATCGATCTGCTCAAGCGGGCACCAGCAACGTCTCCATTGTGAGGCAAACGTCCTACCCGCTGTGCTATCGCTCCAGCCATGAGCTCAAGTATAAAGTCTATTTGGTGGAGCTAAGAAACCAGCGCCACTTTGCACACGTGGAGTTCTGCGTTCAGTCCCTAGGACCACAGACATACGTACTCATACACACGAACCCAAAACAACCAGAAACTCCATGGGGTAACTTTACGCAGTAACAAAAAAGTTCTTGACTGAGACAACTATAAAGTGACATCCACACACCAGCAATTACGAGGCAGGGAACCTAAATGAAATCAGTGTTAGCATCTTCTGTTCATCACCATATTAAAGGCAACAACCTACCTTCCGGCTTGTGGCGGCTGTTTCCCAGACTGAACTGCTTTAACAAACTCAGTGAAATACTCCGGCTTCACTATTGTACGGCCACAAATGAGCGCACAGATTGTCTGCAAAGCAGAAAACATATGTGAATGCATACGCTCCTATCACTCAGATGCTATTAAAAAAAAAAAGTTTACACTCCTGGGAATATATCCCAGAGAGGCAAAAAAGTATAGTCGAAGTGACATCTGCACTTGTTTGTTCATTGCAGCACTCTTTACAATACTCAGAATCTGTAAAAAACCTGAGTGCCCGAGAACAGATGACTGGTTAAAGAAACTTTGGTACCTTTACACAATGGAGTACTATGTAGCTGTTAGAAAAGGTGAAGTCATGAAATTTACATACAAGTGGTACTACATGGAAAGTAGCATATTAAGCGAAATGACTCAGAAAGAAAGGGATAGACATAGAAAGACTGCATTCATCTGGGGAACATAAAGTAACAAAATAGGAGACTAACACCCAAGAATGGCTGAGATTAGTACCAGGAATTTTACTCCATGACTTGGAGGCCAACCACACATACTAGGGAAAAGGGAGCTCAGATAAAGAGGGGAACACCAAATAAAGGTGTTGGGAGGACCCTCCCAGGATGGGAGAACCATGCTGAAAGTAGACTATAGACCAAACATGATTGCCACTCAATGTTTCTTTTGCAAACCACAACACTCAAAAGGAGAGAGAGAACAGAGGGGAATGCCCTGCCACAGAGACAGGGTGGGATGGGGGGGGGGGGGTGGTGGTGGGAGGGATACTGGGATCCGTGGTGGTGGGAAATGGGCACTGGTGGAGGGATGGGTATTTGATCATTGTATAATTGAAACCCAAGCACAAAAATGTGTAAGTCTGCAACTGTACCTCATGATGTCTCACTATTAAAAAATTTTTTTAATAAAATAAAAAAATAAATAAATTTAAAAAAGTTTAACGTATAGACTACAAAGAAAACGCTTTTTATGTAATTATTATTATTATTATTATTATTATTATTTTGGTGGGGGTGGTTTTGGAGTCACAGCTGGTGATGCCCCGGGGGTTACTCCTGGCTCTGCACTAAGGAATTGGTCCTGGCCATGCTCAGGGGACCATATGGTATGCCGGAAATCGAACCCAGGCTGGCTACATGCAAAGCAAGAGTCCTGCCCACTATACTATCTTTAAAAAAAAAAAAAACTTTATCTCCCTACATTTATAAAGGTGTCACAGTCTATAGGATACAATACTGTGACTGCTTAGTTTTAACACACAAATCCTTCTATAACCACTTTGTTTTAACATACAAATCCTTCTATAATCACTCTACATACACCAAGCCACCAATTATATATTACTTGGGGAACAACATAACCTAAAATATAAGTCAATTAGAAAATGTATTGCACAGGGCCAGAGAGATAGTGCAGTGGGTAGGGCATTTGCTCTGCATGTGCCCAACCCAGGTTTGATTCCTGGAATCCTATATCCAAGCTTCACCAGGAGCAATTCCTGAGTGCAGAGCCAGGAGTAAGCCCTGAGCATCGTCAGGGACGTCACTCACACCACACCTCTCCTCATCCTGCCAAAACAATGGATTCCAGTTGGGCTGAGAGATAGTACAGTGGGTAGGGTTCTTGCCTTGCACACACAGCGGACACCCCAAATGGTTTGATCCCTGGTACCCCCAAGTGGTCCCCTGGGTCTGCCAGGAGTAATTCCTAAACACAGAGTCAGGAGTTAGCCCTGAGCACCATGGGCTGTTTAGAAAACATTACAATGCTAAAAATCCTCCTTGGAACTGAGGAAATATATTATCTGCCCAGAGATAAACACAAAAAACAAGCTCTCCTGAGTCTAGCTGCTTTTTCAACAGATGGAAGTTATGGAATAAAATATTTTATGATTTTTAGCTTATTTTTTAAAAATCTTTATATTGGGGCTGGAGCAATAACATAGTGGGTAGGGCGTTTGCCTTGCACGCGGCCAACCCAGGTTCGATTCCCAGCATCCCATATGGTCCCCCAAGCACAGCCAGGAGTAATTCCTGAGTGCATGAGCCAGGAGTGACCCCTGTGCACCGTCGGGTGTGACCCAAAAAGAAAAAGAAATTTACTTATATAAATGTGCTCCACACAAATAGATTTTTTTTTTTCAGTGAGTGGGTGGAGGAATTTCCAAACAGCCAAATGGACAATTTTTAATGGGTTTATTTTACGTATTAACATAAACTGGCACCCAGAAGACTAATCACTCTGCTGAACTTTTATGAAATTCAGCATCTCCTTAAGGTAAGTATCTACAACTCCCTAGTCTGTGAGGATTTATTCATATAATATTAAATGATAGGAACTTAAAATGTTCTTGCAGATAAGACCTTTTGTTCGTTTGGGGGCCACCTCCAGCTGTGCCTGGAACTCCTGGTTCCAGGATGACTCCTGGTGGGCTCATAAGTGGTGCTGGGTGTAACTTCGGCCGGCTGCATGCAAGCCAAGCGCCTGACTCACTGGACCATCTCTCCAGTCTATAAAGAAGATCTAAAGCCAGGGCAAAAGCCATAGTACAGACGGTAGGGAGTTTGCTTGCTCACAGCCTACCTGGGTTCGATTCCCAGCATCCCATATGGTCCCCCAAGCACCACCTGGAGTAATTCCTGAGTGCATGAGCCAGGAGTAACCCCTGTGTATCACTGGATGTGGCCCAAAAAAGCAAAAAAAAAAAAAAAAAAAAAAAAAGTCCAAAACCGGAGAAGGAAACTTGATAGAGGATTCAAGAAATATTAACTCTGAAAATTAGTGACTGATGATCTCGTCATTTTCCTTTTTGATTAAAATTACAAACTGTGTATTACAATGTAATAAATTTCTTCTGATGAACAAATAACTCATTTTGAAAAACACTTCATCAAAATCCGAGAGAGCATTTTATATGGTATGCAAACACACAGACTTGGTATCTGTACTCAGCAACCAGCAGTTCTCATAGTTTTAAAGTAAATAACTTTAAAAATGTCGAGTACAGGGTTAGAGAGAGAACTCAGAGAGCTGAGCACAGGCTCTGCATGCAGGGAGGGCCTGAATAACTCTATGATCCCGGGAGGGGACCCCTAAGGAGGCCCTAAGCACGAGGCTGGGAGTAACCCCCGAGCACTGCAGGGTGAGCTCTCGCCTCACAAATGTCCCTGTACAGTGGACAAGTAAACTTACACTAAAAGGACTTCCTTAAACACCAGAAAAAGGCATCCGACTTACTTTAATGGTCACTTTCACTGTCGTCATGACGAGATGAGTACATTCTTCTGTCCAATTATTTACAGTAAGTCCCCCCAGCTGCAAGACTGCCTGATTTAAAGCGGCTTTTCCAGACGCATCTAAACAAGAAGAGCATGTGACCAGGGGCTCATACTCCACCCTGCAAAGGAGAATAAGTTACACAAGGATCATTAGAGCACTTTGAGCTCACATCACCCAGTGTTACTTTCATCTGTCTGGATCACTGAACTTTTGAAGTAATGATCAGTCCCTAGTCTTGAGCTGCAATTAAGGAAAGTAAAAAAAAAAAAATTATAGGTAACATGTTTTCACCCATGAGCTCTCAAACAAACATAGTTCCGGTCCAGGTTCTTGTGGTTAAGGGAGAGTTAGTTTTCCACTGTCTAAAAATATTCTTTCCTTGAGAGCTTCAGTAGTTCAAAACCAACTGATTTGGAAGATCAATTAAAAGATTGCTTACCTGAATTTACTTTCAAACACTCCAAAAGTAACTCGGTCTCCCGTTTTCAACACTAGAGAAAGGCCATTCTGCATTTTTTTCTCATTGACAAAGGTGCCATACTTAGAATTGTCTTTTATTGTCAGTTCAGGGATTTCTACTGCTTGACTCTGAGGGGAAAAAAAAATAAACCAAAAAGGACAGTAATTTAAAGTCTCATATAGGTCAAGGGGCCCAAGAGACACAAGATCCTGGCTTTGAATGCAGCAGAACTTAATCCCGGGCAGCACTAGGAGTGACCACTGAACACAGAGCCAGGAGTAGCTCCGAGCACCGCAGGGTTGGACCCAGAGCCCAGACCTGCAGAGCAGTCATTCAATCAACAGTGAATGAAAACGTCCTGATCCACTATCACTCTCCTTAGAATAATGCCTTTTTAATGATTCTAAAAGGATGGTGATAGCTGACCCCATCCCTCCCGCCTCCCCAAACTTACTTCACCCATCTGAGAAGCCTTTATACCTTACATAACACAGGACAGCTTTGTTCTCAAAGTTGTTTTGCTTTTTTTTTTTTTTTTACTTACAGCAGTTTCATTTTCTCTTTAGGAATTCCAATTATATTACTATTTCTAAAAGAATGTGAACCTGAAACCTAAGTATCACTTCTAAACTGATCCAACATTTGCTGGCATGCATTTTTTTTGTTCAGAAGAAGGACTTTTCTCTTATTGCCACCAGCATTATCAAGAGCCCAACTATGGGCATTCATATCTAGTACTGCTGATTATCAATGTTTGGGAGTAAATTAAACAAACAAGGCCAGGAAGGAAGTTGACAGTGTGTGACTTGCATGTTAGAGGCCCAGTTACTACATGGTCCTCTGAGCACTGAGCACTTCTGGGCATAGCCCCTGAGGATCATCAAACCAAAAATAAACCAAACAAATGACCCAAACCAACTTAAATCCATCCAAAAAAAAAAAATGTGGCATAATCTACAGTCACTTTCCCATATCAAGTGACTCCTGCTGTGAAAATTCATTCCCACGATGAAAAACCTCCATGAGGTGGGAAGTCACTGTGTTCTCAGGGTCACACAAACGCTTCAGGGTTGGGTCTTAAGGCTCCCAGATCTATTCTCAGGTTTGGCAGTGACTGACACAAAGTAAGTAACAAATGCTCAGCACGTAAATAAATATTGTTTTGTTTGTTTTTTTTTTAACGTCCTGAGTTGCTGAAAAAAAAAAAAACAGTGAAATGCTAAAAAAGAAATATCAAATCTGAAAATAAACAAAACCATTATACCACTGCCCCCAATTTTTACATTTTTTAATAAAAGAAATAAACTCAGGGCTGGAGAGATAGCACAGTGGGTAGGGCGTTTGCCTTGCACGCGGCCAACCCGGTTTCGATTCCCAGCATCCCATATGGTCCCTTGAGCATCGCCAGGAGTAACTCCTGAGTGCAGAACCAGGAGTAACCCCTGTGCGTCGCCAGTTGTGACACAAAAAGCAAAAAATAAATAAATAAACTCAAGGGGCCAGAGGGACAGTACAGAGGTAAGGACACTTGCCTTGCACAGGGTCAATCAGGGTTTTCTCCCTGGCCCCACATACGGTCCCCAGAGCTTGACACTCCTGATGGCTGAGTGCAGTGTGGTTCCAAAACCAAAACACCAAAACCCAAAGCAAACATCTCAGACCCAGGGAGATAGTGCAAAGAGGTAGTTGAACACCATTTGCATGCTCGAGGCCTGAATTTGATCCCCAGCACCCCAGAACTTACGCTAGAAAGAGTAGCCCTGATCAACACTGGGTGTGGCCCACAAACCAAAAACCAAGATCTAACATCCTCATGAAATGAAACCTATCTTACAAACCATCTTACATATGTACCAGGAAATGTCTGGGTAATTTCAACCACTGTACTGCACGCTAGTGAAATAAAGTTAGTAACATACCAGGTTGGTTACAGGAAAATTAGCAGCTAACATGGCATGATCTCGGCTGATTGACTTATCATCTTCAATGAGGATGTTACAGTTTTTCCTTCCAACTATGTATTCAACTCCCGTCAAAAGTCTGTATGGCTCTAAGAGAATGCAAAACAAAGAGAAACAAAAGTGAATCAGGAAAACCACTTATACACCTATGTACATTGTACGTGAAGCAAATATTTAGTTATTTAATTTAATAATGTAACATGTATTAACATTTTCTATTTAAATTCTGATTAGCAAATTTTTATAAATCAAATGTGTTTTCTAGGAATGTCTTGCTGAAAGATGCAAACATTTATCTAAAGACACAGAAAAGTTCTGCCATTTACCCCCCCAAAAAAAAATAGTATTAAAAAGTACCACTGCTAAACCAAATTAACATACAAATATGATCACCAAATAAAATCTCAAATACTATGCCATAAAGTAATAGTAATTTAAATATGTGGTACTGGGGGGAGGGGGCAGAGAGACAGTACAGCTGGTGGACCCTTGCTTTGCACACAGCGCCTGGGGCTTAATCAGGGCCAACCCAGAAGGTCCTCCTAGAACCATAAGGATCATCCCTGCATGCAGGGCCAGGAGTCAGCTCTGATCATGGCCAGGTGTGGCCCCCAAACAGAAAACAAATACATGATACTGGATACAAACCAATGGAAGGCACATACAAGAACTGGGGAATTTTAATTCTTACAGGGCGCCGTCCTCCAACCCTGGGTTGGACAAAACTTTTCCTGAGTGCCAGGCCTGAGAATTCCCAAGCTCTGACAGGCTGCTTTGGGGGGCATGGGAATACCAAGGCTACCCCAGTACCATGCAAGCCTTGCACACACTAAGCATGTGATTCCTGAACAAGGCCAAGTAGGGCCCCCCAAAGGCCACCCCCCTCCAAAACAAAAGAACCTTTTGTGTGTTTTCTTACTTTTTAAATAGCAGAATAAACAGCTTAAGCTTTCCTTAAAGAACAGACACATTTTTCTTCTGCATTGACCTCACAGAAACTTGAGAGCCAGCCACCAGCTACAACTATTCTTCCTAAATCACTTGCTCCTACCCATTCACACAGGCCACACAAACAATGCACTCTGGGCGTAGTTTTGATGACAAAAATGTGTGTGTGTGTGTGTGTGTGTGCGTGTGCGTGTGCGTGTCTGTCTGTAACAAAACTGTAGCAATGCTTTCCTGTGAATTTTTCTATTTTTCTTTTTTTATCCGAGATAACTCCAAAACCAGCCACCACCATGCTGAGACCACTCTCCACACGCATGAAGGTACCAGCAGTGGAACAAAGGCATGCGGGTCCCGGGGCTATCTCCAAGCCTGCTCAGATAGAAGCTGAGCATCCTCCACCCAGATCCTCCATCTTCCAGTAGGCCCAGGTCACACCCACCAACTGGACCCCTGGCACTGTGTAATCCCATCAACGTCCAAGACCCAGAGACTATAAAACTCAGCTCCCGGAAGTGACATCTTATTATCTCATGCTTACTTTGGACAAACTGGCAGGCTACCGAATGTAACTTGTCCACACGGCAGAGTCTGGCAAATTCCCCGTGGCGTACCCAATATGCCAAATACCAGTAACAATGATGGGTCTCATTCTCCTAACCCTGAAAGATCCTTGAATATGGCACTTTGTAAAATCTCAGGGCTAGGACGAAGGAGACGTTACTGGGGCCTGCTTGAGGCAATCGATTAACAAAAGGATGGTCGTGATTGTGAACATTAATTTTACACTTTTTATTGAATCACGGTGAGATACACAGTGACAAAGTTGTTTATGACTGGGTCTCAGTCGTAGGATGCTCCAATACCCTTCCCTCCACCAGTGCACGTTTCCCACCACCAATGTCCCCAGTGTCCCTCCTACACCCCAGTCTTCCAAGCACTTTTCCTCTCTCTGTCTCTGTGTGTGTCTCTTGCCTCTCTCTCTCCCCATTATGGTTTGCAATACCGGTACTGACAGAGCATCACCTAGAACCCTTTCCCTCCTTCCAGCACTGGGTCCTTGTCCAAGTGGCACTGTTTTAAAGGTCCTTTCTCTATCCTAGCTGGTCCCCTCGGGACAAGCTTCTGGCAGCGGCCCCGCCCTCCCACCTCTGGCTTCTCAGGCCCTTAAGTGTTGGTTTTATACTACAGTGTTTTGTTGTTGTTGTTATTGTTGTTTTTTGGGTCACACCCAGTGAAGCACAGGCATCACTCCTGGCAGTGCTCAGGGGAGACCGTATGGGATGCTGGGGATCAAACCCGGGTCGGCCACGTGCAAAGCAAACACCCTCCCCGCTGCACTACTGCTCCAGCCCCCATCCTATAGCTTTGTTGCTGTTGTTTAACACCCCCCCACACACACACAAACAAACACACACACACACACACACACACACGGGCGCATCCCGCCTCTTCCTCCTGGATGCACAGGGCCGGGGCCACGCCCAGGGAAGAGTCAGAGGAGGCGCTGAGCCCCTAACCCCACTCAGTCTCGGGGGTCTCTGCAGAAGGCGCCCGCACGCGCACCGCCGGGGGAGACACTAGGTGTCACTGCACGCCCCGGTCTGAGCCCGCCCAGCCCGCCCAACGCGGCCCCGGCCCGATCCCCGCGGGAGGCGGCGCCGGAAGCGGCAGCGCGGCGGGAACCCGGTCCCGGCCACTTCCCGTCCGCCCTTACCTCGGGCCGGGCCCGCGCCGGGGACGAGCTTCCACATGGGTCCGGAGCCCGGTCGGGCCGGGACGCAGACGGCCCGGTAACCGCAGCCCGGGCGGCGTGCGCGCTCCCGGCGACGGGCCCCGGGAAACGTGCTCGCTCCCGGCGACGGGCCCTGGGAAACGTGCGCGCTCCCGGCGACGGGGGCCCGGAGACGTGCGCGCTCCTGGTGAAGAGCCCCCGGAGACGTGCGCGCTCCCGACGAGGAGCTCCGGAGACGTGCGCGCTCCCGGCGACGGGCCCCGGGAAACGTGCGCGCTCCCGGCAACAGGGGCCTCAGGGACGTGCGAGCTCCCGACGAGGAGCCCCGAGGACGTGCGTGCTCCCGACGAGGAGCCCCGAACACGTGCGCGCTCCCGGAGCGCAGGGGCCGGTCGCTGCCTGGTGACCGGAAGCAGGTGTCGGCTGGAAAACGCTCAGCGACTGGCCTGTGGGCGGGTTTGCTGGAAACTGAGGGGAAGTGAGCATTTCAGTGAGCTGGGTTCTCCTGGAACCTGGTGACGCAGCAGCTGTGTTCTTGCATGCGTTTGCCAAGTCGTAAATTGCAGGATTCTGTATGGACTTGGGCGGAGGGGGTTCAGGGTTTCACCCCAGTTCAATGCACAGTTTTTCTTCTGCTTCAAGCTTCAAGTCAACTTCCGAGTAATATTTATGTTTCAACCAAACGCATTGAGCCAGAGAGATAATATGCAGGGGTCCAGCCCTCTCAACCCCATCCTGATTCTGCCCCTCCCACCCCCTATAGAAAAGCAGATCAATACTTTTTTTCTTCATGCCCTATAAAGGAGAACTGATGCTACTGAGCTTTGGGTTGATACCTCTTTGTTTCTAACCAGAATTCACAGAGTGACCCATGTGATAAAACATCAGAAATCTGGTATCACATTTACATTTTTTTATTGACTATCATAAAAATTAGAAGAGACTGAAGATTGGTAACAAGTTGCTCTGCCAATTGTCCCAGCTTCCGTGCTTCATATAGCTTGCACCGTCTCCTCTAACCTTTTTTTTCTTGTAAGCTCTTCTAGATCTTGAAGATGTTCGTGGAAGCTTGTCTCTACGGCTTGTCTAAAATGAAACGTGACTCAGAACTTAACCTTGGCAGTTTCTAAGATACTTGCTCCAATGGCTCATCACACAATATCACCACGTTAAAAAAGAATTTTTTTTTATTGAATATCCGTGAAATAGACCATTACAAAGCAGTTCATGATTGAGTCTCAGTCACACAATCATCCAAAACTCATTTCTTCACCAGTGTACATTTTCCATCACCTTTTTCCCTCTTATTACCCTCCAGAATTCCCTTCCTTAAGCCTGTTTCTATGGCAGACATTTCTTTCTCTCACTCCTTTGTGCATTATGGTTTGCAATACAGGTACTAAGAGGTCATCATGTTTGCTCAGGGTGTTCAGTATTTTAATCAAAAAGGTAAGACTGGAGTATTTTTTTTTAATTGTCACCTTTGGGTGTGGTTGTGACTGCTGAGGCTCCCAGAAGTACAGGGAGGTAGCGGGAGGTAGCCCAACTGGACCCCAAGAAAGCCTGGAGATTTCAGTCACAAAACCCTCAGATCCGAATTTTCAGCAGTTTATATCTTGGTGAGTTCGTCCTCAGATAGTGGGGTCCCACAGAAGGCATGTGGCGATTTTGGTTTGTGGGAGCAAGCGATTGCTGGAGGGCTCCGTTTGGGCGGGCACCAGGCTGACTTACCCCCTCCTCCAATTTGCCATGATCTGTTCAGCCTTGCAAGAGTCTAAGATTAACTGTGTCTTTTGATCTCTTTTGAGATTTATTTATGGGTCTCTGAAGCAAGGTCGATATATGACCTTGTAAAGCTGAGCCGGAGGTGGTTAGAGGGAATGGCTCCCACATACCTAACTTTTGGCCATTTAATTTCTCAGGAAATTCCTCAGTTGTTGGCGTCTGACCAAAGGCACAACAGCAATTTGGGGTATCAGGAAACCTGAAGGCACTACCAGGCTGCTGATGCACTTGTCCCATAGGTACAGGTTGACTTGCCAGCGGCACTGCACTCCTGATATCACCACATTTAGTGACTAAAGCTATTCCTGTTTCCTTCAGTTTTCACTTTCATTTCAGGCTGGAGTGATGGCACAGCGGGTAGGGTGTTTGCCTTGCACGTGGCTGACCTGGCCTCGCCTGCATGTTAAAGCCTAGCAAACTACCCATGATGTATTCGATATGCCAAACACAGTAAGAACAAGTCTCACAATGGAGACGTTACTGGGCACACTCGAGCAAATCAATAAACAACAGGACAGTGCTACAGTGCAGTGCTACCTTCCAAAAATTCCCTGGGAGTATAATTTTATGAGATTGCCAGCTCCTTATACTTCCTCCCCCCACCCCTCCCATTACTATATTACCAATTGCAGGTATGTCTGTGTAACCTTGAAGTCAACTTACAGGTCTGCCTACTAACGCACCACAAAGTTAAATACAGCTACTTCAGCTTAGGCAAACAGGGAAATGCTTGACAGCAGTCTAGAATATCATGAAGGCAGGAACAATGCTCAAATTTTCTCATCGTTCCTTTGTTTCGGTGGACATTTGAACAGGTGGAAAGAGGGACTTGAAACTGCTCTCTTGTTTATTTCTTGAAAAGCAGTGAGTGGGAAGCTGAAAAGTGGGGATCACATGCCTAGTACCTGTAAGGCCCTGAGGCAGTTCCCGATAGCATACAACTTTCTGAGCACTGTGTGGTGTAGGTCTGGTGTCCCCAGGCCTACAGCCCCTCCACTTCAAGTGATTAAACTTCTGCAAAACAAAGAGTTAAATACTTATAGGGTTTTTTTTTTGGGGGGTGGCATGGGGGGAGAAGAGGTTACTACACATAGTATACTCAGGGCTTCTGGCTCTATATTCAGGGAATACTTCTAGTGTGCTAAGAGGACCATATGGGATGTTGGGGATCAAACCCATGTCTGCCGCATGCAAGGCAAACATCCTACCCACTATACTATCACTCCAGCCCCAATCTTGTGTCTTGAGCCCACTTCAAATTCTCATTCCCTCATCTTGGTATCTCAGAATATTCCAGTTGTGATTGGATTTTGAAAAAAACTTTAGAGAGTAAATGAACCAAATCACAGCCCTGGGAGATACAACCAGATTCTTTTCTCACAGTGTGCCCTCCGATACAATTGAAAAATTTAGCACAATTTCAGTAATTTTTCACATTTTTGCAGCCCTAAGTGAAATTGGTCTCAGAGTATCACTTGTCCTAGAGACAAGTAGAAGAGAGGCTAACTTCACCCTAGAGAGTCCTAGAGAGGCAACCTTCCCATTCCATTTGAAGATATCTGCCCAGCTGACTCCAGCTGCCATTGCATAACTTATTTTTATAATTGACAGGTAAAGTAATGTAAGATCCCCAAACTACAAGGTGCAAATCTCGTCTTTATGGAATGAGAACACTTAAATCTATTTACTGAGATCATGTATTCGCCTTCCTACTAGGAGTCATTCAAGGAACTAATTAATGATTACAAAACACTTTGAAAATCTGAAGCTCACTAATCATCTAAATCATCTAAAACTTGTAAATTAGATGATGAACTCAAATAGCAGAGTATGTTAGAGCTATTCTAAAGAGAGATGTAATCTAGCTGTTATTTTATCCTAACAGCATCTACAAAGAGCTTCTTTGTCCCACACCAGGTGGCCTATAATAATCCTGCCGAATCTAATTTATCTTGTAAATGTCACAGATTAATAGAGCTACAAGTGGTTTTAGAAATGACATACACAACACTCCGATTTTGGAGGAACACCAGGTTAATAAAAGTTGATTTGCTCAGTAGCAGAAAGCCCATTTGTAGCGGACTCATGATCACAAAAGCTGGGGTTTCATGTTCCTCTGTGCACCTTTCCCTGGATCCCTTCAGCTAGTCTTAGCGGAGTCCTTAGAACTCTCTCTGCTCTGGAGCCATCCCTCTTCTATGCAGACAGGGAGCAAATACTGAATCAAAAATCAGAGGGTAGGGCCGGAGCCATAGTACAGCGGATAGAGTGTTTGCCTTGCGCACTGCCGACCCGAGTTCGATCCCCAGCATCTCATATGGTCTCCCAGCACTGCCAGGAGTAATTCCTGAGAGCAGAGCCAGGAGTAAACTCTGAGCATTGTTGGGTGTGACCCAAAAAGAAAAAAAAAAACAGAGGGTAGAACATTGTCAGCTATTGCTTTCTTTTCCCAGATTCAGACTTATACCCATGAGGAGGATTTTCGTTTCATGTCCCATCCATTCTGTATAAAATATGGACAAGTCCCCCTTCCAGGAGATTCCTTGTTATTCCTCAGTACCGAGAAATCAGCCAAAATAATCCGTAGTCACATCTGCCTTCTCCAACCTAAGTGGTTCTCTAGCCCTTTTTGGAAGACAGGTAAATGGCCACTTCTCCAGGCCCACTCTCTGCATCCCTGTTCTGAAACTGGTGCTACTTGAATTTAGCAAAGAGGAGTTTGTTAAATTTGCAGTTTGTCACTATTGGGGAAATGTTAGAAGCAAAATTTACCTCTATGGTGCATTTCTGAAAATACAAAAGAGAAAGAAAACAGATTAATTATTGAATAGCTATAAACCTGAACCACCGGTAGTCTGCTCAAAACATTTCAAAGGCAAAAAGAAATCCTACCCTCTTCCAGAGCCAAGCAGATGGGTTGTATGTATAACTAGTTCTCTGGTAAGAGGTTTGACAGAACCATTTGTCCTACACTCACTTGGAAATTAGGGTGGCCATCTGCATTAGCTTTATCCACAGAAAAGAACAAATCTCAATAGCACTAGGAGAGGAAGTAGTTGTTCCGGTTGGAACCAAGTATCAGGGTGAAGTTAGCCTCAAACCCCCCAGCAGAAATTTACAAGAAGGGACACTATCATTCTTGATGACTGTTTTTCAAAGAAATGGTCCTCAAGAAGTAGTTCTGTGTCTTTTATTTTAAAAAAGATAAGTATTTTGTTATGTTTATATTTATTCACCTTTGATAGAAAGTTTGTTTCCTTCACTTGGCTATCATGGTGCTGTGATGGACACCT